TATATATATATATATATATATATATATATATATTAGAATTGCAGAGTGTTCTGGTTTTCCTATAGAGTCAGAAACGCCAGAAACATGATAAACTTTATTATATTCTGGTAATTTTAATCATGGTTTATAATCAGTGTACAATATTTTACTTGAATAGAATTATGCATTTATTTGAGTAAATGTTTTGCAAGCAAAACATCCACACAGTAAATATATTAATCAGATAAAACATTTAACATAAAGAATAAATCACGAAAACTAATATTTTTTAAATGTTTTTAAATATGTACCATTACCTAGGTTGAAAAGAAGATAGAACAGTAATCCAATAAACCAAATAATTTCCATCTCTTTCAGCTTTTATCCCTATGAAGTGAGTGAAGAAAAAAATTTCAAAAAATAATAATTTAAAAATATTAATTTAATGAAGCATAATTATGAGTTTAAGAAGTTAAAAATATTAATTAAGTTAATATGAATTAATATAATGATAAGTAATCTAATTAAATCTTTAAATAATGACTGTCAAGTAATGTTGAAAGAACTGCATTGATACACTGAAAATATTGTAGTGTATTATCTACAGTAATTTGGACTTGAAAAACACTAAACATTGCGAGAACGATTACTTTATTTCAGGTTGATACCGAATCTAGCTTTCTTACATATCTCAAATGATGTACATTTCTAATTATCCTAACACCAATAATTGCTAAATTTTACACTGCTCTGCAGCTAATTGGTGAAAAATATCCTGTTGTTTGAAGTTCCGTAAATTTGGTGAATAATTCATGTACATTTAGACTATTGAACTAAATTCTTGAGTGAAATGATAGTAGGATGTGTTTTGAACAAATAGTAAATGTTTTTGGATTATTCTTCGAAGATTCAAGGTGAATTATTGCGCAATATAGAAAAATTGACACTATGAAGGCTAATATGGCAGTTTCTTTACATGAAATGCACTTCCTGTCGAATTTAATACACGAACTCGTCATAGCACATTTAATGCCAAACAAATTTCAATTTTCTTTCCTGATTGATAAAAAATATTGATTGTGGTTGATTATATTTGCCAAGTAATTTCAGTTGTCTTGTCCGATTGATTTGACAAACACTCATATAAACAGTTATAGAATGCTTGTATATTTTTATATTTATTCTCATAAGATTTGCATAAATAAGTCAATTATATGAAATAATTTCACAATTTTGAAAAAGTCCTTTTTTTAAAATTTAATTTCTCAGCAACTATTTGACCGATTTTTCTCAAATTTTATATTTTGCCATGTAAAACTACAGTCAGTGAAATGATACAAAAAATTTAATACCTTGCATTTAAAGAATTTTTGACGACCATTCTTACTTAAAGTAATAAAAAATAAAAGATATTTACTAAAAGTTATTTTTTACACGGATTTCTCGTTGGACAAATGAATTTTTTAATTGTGTTTTAAGTTGTTTAATACACTGACCTAATTCTCGTGATATGGCAAAATAAGCAAAAAATAAAATTAACATTAAGGGGTTCAAACTTTGGAGGGCTTTCCTGACCAAACTATTTGGATCATATTTCCCAGATTGCGGCTATAACCCATATTTTAGGGGTCAGAAATCCAATTCCGTCAAAAAAAAAGTATGTTTATTCAGAGGAAGTACGCTTTTGTGTGTGATTTCGTAACTTAAAATATCGTCTGCACTTATTAATTAGCATATTTGAGGTCACCCAAGTAAGCCATAAAGATTGAGTCTCAGAACGAAAAATTCCGATCATTAGATCAAAAGTTATTTAAGGTATTTATTAATTAGGGTCTTTAGATATTTATTAACTTTCTAAACTTTTTTAACCCTTTCACGAACGTATACTGAGCACTGATTTTCATTATTCTTCCATTAAGTAAAAATGAAACCCTGCAAACAATACTTTTTGATATTTCTCTACAATCACTCATTTGGATAACATATTATTCTATTCTTCTTCTCAGACTCACAAATATAAATAATCATAGAGTTATTTCTTAGCTTTATAGATACATTGTTCTTAACCTCATAGATATTTCTTAATTTTCTAAACTTTCTTTTCCCTATTTCACGATTGTATATTAAACGCTTATTTATATTATTCTTCCATTAAGGGAAAATGAAATGCTGTAAACAGCACTTTTTGACATTTTTGTGCAATAGTTTGGTTAGCATATTCTTCTATTTAGCTTTAAAAATGTAAATAATCATAAAATACTTTGCATTAATATTTTCAATCAAACTTACCTAAAAACATACCTTCAATTTTTTATCCATTTGAAATAACACAATATTTACTCCGCTATCATACTTTTAATGCATACGTTTTCCTGAAATGTGTTATAACACAATTGCAACTTTTTATTTATTAATTTACATAGTGAGTATAATAATAAAAGTTTGAATGCAAAGATGCAATAAAATGTATGCAATGCTTTAACTCATTGATCAATCGAAGACTGATTTCCGGTATCAGTTTCAGCTTAGAGATCGATTCTTTTCTTGTTATTATCTCTAAATTTCACAGATCAAGTATCACAATACTCCAGTTGCGATAAGAGCAGATTAGATGGCTGCTTCTGTTGTGTTTAGTTCTATGTAAATATCTGCTTGGAACATAAATGACTAAGTAGGCTTCACTTTAACAGTATTTAGAGAGAAGGACTTTTGATAACAATACGGAGATTGTTGATGAGTTGTTTTGTTTACAGCAAAACAAATTGAAGTTTGTAATGAAATGGTGTGTAATGACGCAAAATTGAGTTGTTATAAGTAAAATGGGATAACACTGCTAAAATCTTTGTTTTTATTTTTATCATTTATGACTGATATTATATTTATTATTTTAAATATTTTCAACGGGAATATTAAAAAAATATGCATATTTAATGTACATAATAAAGCAAATCCCCTTACAGTCAACTATCGGTCAAAAGGTCATGGTGGTCAAAGTACAACAATTTTTAGACCAACGGTGTGGTAGGCATCATATTGTCAGTATTATGCACTGATTGCTTTAGCTTCACAGAGAAGCTACTACCTGTCGATCTGAAGAAAGGTGCTCTTCAAGATGCCACCGTGGGAAGAACTTCGGCCTTTTACAATAACAGGTCAATGCCTTAGCCACTATGTCGAATGTATTTAAAGTGTACTGTTGGAAATTGTGGACCCTATTAAACCAAAATATCTTTTAAATTTACGGCAACCTCAATACGGTACCAAATTTATCCGTGCAATCATGTTAATTAAACTTTTTTTTGAACTTGAGTATCTCATTATACTGATTATCCTTAAAAGATGCTTGGCTAGTTATAACATCTTATTAAGGTTATGATTGGTTATAGATCAAAGTAGCAATATTAAGGTTCAATGTTAAAGTATACAACGTGTTATTGCTTGCAAACAGTAAGTATAAGGTATATTTTCAAATGTTTGCAAACTAAAATATGCAAAATGAAATCAGATATGTGTATATAAAATTAATATAAAATTTTTTGATAATTCTAAATCGTTCATTTTAAAGCAATATACTTTCATAAGTTGAATTGTCAATTATAACAGTTAAATTGTTAGGAATTATTAATTTTAAGATAAAAAATAAACAAGCAAACCTTCTCCTTTTTAGTATTTCTGTAATCATTTTTAAAATAAATTTAATCAAATGAAAGAAAATAAACAATCATAGAATTGAAGCTAATTTGTTTTAACCATGTCTCGAAAATTCGTAATTAAAAATTCATTTTGAGAAAAAGACTTGTTAGCTTTTGCTTATGCACATATATAAATTCGAGTTATTATAAAATCTATTAAATGAAAAACTGTTGAACGAAAAAAGATTAAATTTTAAGATAACATTTGTAGAAATATATATCTTAAGAAAAACAGAGTGTTAATTTTTCTCTATTGATTTCCATTTTTTTCTTCTTTCATGTATTTGAGCATAGTTAGTATATTGTGTGCAATACATCAAATGAAAATAAATCCAAAATCGTAATGAAAAAATATTTATTTGCTAAAAAAACATCATTTACTCACATTCACATTATACAAATTATGTGTAAGTGTTTAAAATTAAATCAAAATCACTCCTCAGTTTCACATATATGAAATTGTTTATATCCAATTACATTGTTTATCAAGTAATTCTTGAAACTGGAACACGTGATACAATGTATTATACATTCAGCAACATCTGCAGAACTTCGAAGTTTACAATAAATACACAATCAAAATTTTCGATGCATGATGAATCATAATAGCGTTCACAGTTGCTTCNAGAAAGAAAATTCATTACTAATAATAATTTGGTTTTAAGTGTATTGTTAGTTATGAATTGTTTTTGCCAAGTTGGTAGATTAGTGATATTCGATGCACGAGTATGCCATGAAGCTGTATAGATGCATTCCATAAGATAGTGTTCTGGAGTGCCCAAAGGGCCGCACGTGCAGCGATCATTATCTGAGATGTTTAGATATTTAAAATAACATGGAAAAGGACCATGCCCAAAATAATCTACTTTATTAATAATTTTATATAATCTTCTTCCCTTATCTGAATTGCACCAATAATTTTGCCAAATTTGTGATACAGAGTTCTGAAGTTGATTCTTAAGATGTGAAATCGGGAATGGATATGAGTAATTTTGATGTCTGGTTGTCGATAATTTAGCTAGGGCATCTGCATTTTCATTACCTGTTCTGTCATCATGTGCTTTAATCCACGAGATAAATATATTTGTTTTAAGGAGTAATTTTTGTATTTTAGCCGAGAGTGAATTTTTCGTGCCTGGGTTGATTATAGAGTATAATACTGCTTTAGAATCCGACCAGATTGTATATTTTTTAGATGCCTTAAATGAAGTCTGTGATTTGATGAATCAAATGCATTCTAAAATGGCAAGTTGTTCAGCTTGAAAGACTGAGTTGTTATTATTAATTGTGCAATGATTAGAATGATTTATGTTGAAGAATGCAAAACCAGTTCCAATATTTGTTTTCGTCTGTGAAAAAATTGTACGGATCTAAGTGATTATAGTTTTTATTTTCTTCTAAACTGATTAAATTAGTGATAGACTGAGAGGGGGGAAAATAGTTATTGTTTGTTTTTCCTCGTAAGTACTGTATTGATAATTTATATTGTTGTAGGAAATATCTTTTTTAATTTGAGTTATGATTATTGAACACGACAACGACGCAATCTGTTCTGAGAGAGGTGGGAATCTAGCTAAGACTTGTAGAGCAGCTGTAGGAGTGGAATAATAGGCTCTTGTGATATTCAGAAGAAATTTCCTTTGGATTGAGTCTAAAGTTCTTGAGATTCTAGGCGAGATTTTTTGTGCCCATACACATGAACCATGGGCTAAGGAAGGGATTATAACAGTTTTATATATGAGTTTACGAGCTCTCTGGTTTATGCCCCAGGATAGTTGTATTAATTTTAAAAAGAGTAGTGAGTAGTTGGTTTGATTTCCCTTTCAGGACTTTAACATGTGGACCCCAGTTAAGACTCCTATCTAATATCACTCCCAAATATCTGAAATGGTTCTTTTGTAAATTTAATTTGAAAATTGGGCCCCTGCTTGAGTTGGAGAAATGGATGAAAACAGATTTGTCTATTGATAAATTGAGATTATTACTTGTTAGCCAATTTTGAATAATATTGTGTTGTTAGCATTAATTTCTAAATCTCTTCTTGAATTTCCAAACGTTAATAGAATGATGTCGTCGACAAATGCTTCTATAATTTGATTGTTCATATCTGTATTGAGCAAGCTATTGATTAAAAAATTCCAAGCTGTCGGACCTATACAAGAACCCTGTGGGCAACTTTTGAGTATATGTTTTGTTTTGAATCCGTGATTTGTTGATAGAATAGCAATTCTATTTCTGTTGATATCTTCTATCATGTGACATAAATTTTTAGGGAGATTTGAAGTTGAAATTTCTTTATAAATTAAATTATATTGTATATTATCAAAAGTACTTTTAATATCAAGGGAAATGGCTGCGACATGTTTAAAGTTGTTTTTGAGATGTTTTAGATTATCTGGAAAATTTTGAAGTGCATTATTTATAGATTTGCCGAAACGAAAACCGAATTGTTTGTCTGATAAAATTTTATATTTTTCTATATAATAGTTTATTCTCTTGGTAATAAGTTTTTCTAGAAGTTTGCCTAGACAAGGAAGTAGTGTAATTGGTCTGTATGATGATAATAGTTTCGGATTTTTATTAGTTTAGTTTCATCACCAGTTACTATAAATAATAGCCAGATTAATTACATTAACCATAAAATTTACATCCGGGAAATCATTATTTTGGTTTATATTCACAGATTTTAAAACCGCCACTTCTTTTCTTCGAAATTATTAAAATAATTGCAAAGCATATAATTTAAATGTACTTGGAATTATATTTCATTAAAATTTAAAATGAAGAATATTTCAAATAAATATTTCATTACCTCATACTTAATAATCATAATTTTGTTTTATCTCCACCTTGAGAAATTATAACTTTGTTGAATTCTCATTATGATATATTAATGATATCTGAAACGTGAATAAAATCTGTTTTGAATTACTTATTTCTCAAATTATAGTGTGAGCTAAGCGGTGAGCATTTTCATATTTTATGCAGGTAATAATTTAGTATTTAATATTATCTCTCTAGTCAGGAATTTTGTCATCAGCCAATACAGGGTTATTCATAATTCCCTCCGCCTGTAAACGCCATTTTTCTCTACTACAACTGGCTTCATTGGTACATGTTACTGCCATCTACCGGCAACTGCTTAAATTAAAACTTGAATACTTTCGGAATAATTTCATATGCTCTTTTTCGCCATATTCGTCTTCGTTTTTTTACTATAACGCTTCGAAACCACTGAGGGAATTATAAATAACCCTGTATAATAAACCCTGAAAATAAATCCCAACACGATAAATTTTGATTACGTAAAATAATCTCAAAAATCCGATTATAGCCGCCGCTTTCCTTCATCATGCCCAATCCGTTGTTTGGAAATGCCATTCTCCTTATCGCATTTAACACTTCGATAATTTCCCGACCGCAATTTAGATTTAATAAGGTAAAATAATAATTTTAAAAGATAAATTTCTTCTAAGAACGACTGATCATAGGAGATTTCAAATCACAGAAGCGCAACTCCAAAATTATGTCAAAAAATTGATCCAGAAATCATCCATCTGATTAATAAGTAAAGAAAAAGTATAGTTACTTACTAAATAAGAATTCTCACAAATGAATACAGCATTCACATCTATCCCACCTAAAACATAACTTCTAGCATGTAGCTCCGTAAGAGTTTTGCAAATGGCAATGGCGATCTTTAGTAAATGCCGTGGTGTGAGTCCGGGAACAGTTCGCAGGTAGTGCAAAAGGGTGACGTAGCCATGCGGTGGTTTGAAAGATACAGCATCGAGATCATCCCTCATCATTGTACGCTTATTAATCCCAGTACCTGAGAAATTCAGAATGAAATATTTAAATTGGAGTAATATATTATCATTAGTTACTTTGCAAAGTGCGTGTTTGTGTATGCGTTAATATGCTTTTGCATGTTTCCATTTAAAATATTAGATATAAATTTACATCTGTATTTTGACAAAAAAGGCAAAGTCAGTAAAAGTGAATTACTTTTCATCAATTTTAACCTCTTGATAAGCTGATTTTGTTTATTACTATGCTTTATTAACTGGTCTTCGAGGATTGATTTTCGCAGTCAAAATTTCAACCGTTTTCCGTTTAGCAAGAGCACTGAAAGTCCTGTGACTGAGTACAATACAAGTTTCAATAATTTTTCCATTACTTTCTTGCAGATTTTATCATAATTTTGCTTCCAAATAAAATTCATTGCTAATCAAAATTCCAATCACCATCTGACTAACTGTAGTTCTCAGATTTCCATTGAAACTCTGTGTAATGAAAAAAGTTTCATCACTTCAAGAGACGTGGGGAATATACCGATAATAATAGAAATCTATTTCTAAACTGATCCTTTTACGTTTTTCATTGTAGATCTGACAGAATAATTATTTTCCCACTTTAGTCCATTTGAAAAATGTAGTTTTTAAAACGTTTATACATCCTTTAAACATTTCATTATTTTCCAAAATGAATCAAAACCTCATAAGACTAAAGGATGTGACTAAAGGATGCAGTATAAACCACAATATATATCATTTTCCCCATACAAGTCTAACTAACATGGTTCAACTTATTTTGCTATAATCCGTTGCAAGTTAAGCAAAGACCAGCGCAGTATAGGATTTAAATAATCAACTGCACCTGCATATATTTCCATTTTATTTAGCTATCAAATTATATAATTATGCTTTCAAACAATGTAAAAGCTTTTGAAGGTTAAACTCGTCGGACCGAAATTTAATTTGTGCTATTTTGTATAAGCAAAAACGAGGTAGTGCTATTTCGTTTCAAGAGTTGGTGATGTTGATATTCGTTCGCGCTTGGAGCTTGGCATCCATTTAGCTGCATATAGGTGCAAACAGGCTCTCTCCATAGGGAAAATGGCTTTTTCCTTAACTTGCAAAAAAGAAATAATATACTTAATTTAACTTAAGCGATTTATTTTTAAGTGATTTGCTCCACGGGAGTTGACCATTTGAATCATTTTTAAAATGTAAAACAATACCATTACTAATTTTATTTAATTCCTTCCATCCTAAAGTTTATATTAATTATAATTTTTTTTCAGCTACTTTGGTTTCAATATAGTTTCATTTCTTAAAAAAATCGTGCACCTTACTTAACAGTGAACTACAAATTCAAAATGTCTATGGGAGAAAAACATTTTTTTAATCATTATGTTAAATTCATCCAAAAACTGAATAATATTTATCAGCTAATAAGAATTGAACAATCATCATTTATCTAAGAACAAAATTACATTCTAAAATAATAATATTAATGTATTTCAATGATAGCTCAATGTTTATGAAACTATTTCAACAATTGTAACTCTTTTCAATGTTTTTAAGTAAATTAGCTGAAAAAATCTTAATTCTGTTTCGAAAAGAAATTTTGCAAATAACGTTTGATCAACTAACTACTAATTCTACAAATAATTTGATGTTTTATTCATGGAGGACAAATTCTACTTTCTGGTACGTTAATTCAATTAAAACTCTCAACTACAGAATAACAAGAAAGACATGAAAAATTAAATGCATCGAGAAATTAAAGTTCAATGTAAATTTTATAAATTTTTCACATGAAATAAATCAATTAAGTTAACAATCATAATGTTATTCTACACTGCAAAAAATTCCGAATCAAATTACGGTAAAAAGGACTGGCACCCTAGGTGCAGTATCAATTAAATTAATTTTACCATGAAAAATCTTACCGTAAAATTATATAGCGTATATTTTACAGCAATAATTACTTAATTACAGTGATTTTACAAGAAATATTATTGCAAAAATTACGATAGAAAATTTTGCTCCGGAATTTTTTTTCAGTGTATAAACGTTACCATTCCGACTTACCCGAATTGCCAACTGTAGTATTGTTACTGTAGGATCCTTTTGTATCATTCACATTTAAGCCAAACTTTGAAAGTAATTTAGTATGAAAGTGTAAAGAAGAAATCGTGTAGATCAGTGGATTAGTCGCTGAATTAAGAGGTAAAACAAATATGGCAGTCCAAGCATAAACCTCCCCTTTAAGAAAAAGTAAATACATAACTTTATTTTACCCTTAATTAATTGATTAGGAATACATATTGTTAATGTGTACACATTATAGAAAAACAGGATGTTTTCAAAATATAAAAATGAACAAATGTCTCGAAAAGTACGCATAGGATTATGAATCTAAGAATGCACATGGGAGTATTTTTAGAAGATATATTCAGGCACCAAGATCAAAATTTTTACATTTCCAACAAATTCGACCCCCGTTTTTTATCATGGTTATAATTACAGTCTCATCTGTAAACTAATTTAAAAAAGCTAGTAAGTCACACAGAGAAACTTCTTTTCTGGATAATCCAAAACTGCAATAAAATATGGTAGTTATTATTTAAGAGTTTGAAATTACCTCACCGTACCTCTAGAAATCATATTTAAAGAGGTCGAGATAGGATGCATCGTTTGAAAATGTTTCACACTGGTCATTTTTTAGATTTTCGATTCGATGCATATTCCCCGACTATTTCTAGGATTTCTGAACAAACTGCTTGTAATAACCACTAGCAATTTTAAAAATATGCAAAAATTGAAATCATTAACATTTTTAATCAAAGTACATTTTTCAGGATTTAAAAATAAATTATAATATTAGTATCAAAATGCCTTATTACCTCTAAAGTTCAAAAACTCGTGTATTAAATAACTCATTAAATATCTCACACCGGAAAGTGGAAAAATTTCTTATAGTGAAGTTATCCTTTAGTGCATGCAATATTATTTCATATAAAAACAGACTATACATTAATCAATACCTTTACAAAATATTTTCGATAGACAAAATTGAAGTTTAGTAAGTAAATTATTTAATCTGTTCACAACTGTGATCAACATAAATTACTAGAGTATTCGAATGAATATATTACATTTTTAACATTTTAATAACGTTGAAAGAAAGAAATGATTCAAAATTCATTTTAAATTATACTTTTGATGAATGTTTATAAAAATACATGAAAATAAAACGTGAACGTTATTTGGGTTATTTTAGTTTTGAATATTTTTCAAATTAAATTTCAGTTGCAATATAAGTAGAGGTACCACTTAATTTACATCGCTGTAGAACTGCGCAATGAGCTATTGGCGACGGTCTGGAAAACATCCCTCAGGATGATCTGAAGACTGCCATCATAATTTTCATCCTCTGTAGAGGGGGTGACATCCAGCCTTGGCAGCTCTACAACCTGTGCTGGCTGCCAAGTCGAGTGTTTCACTGTAGAACAGTTTTACAAGGACCGATATCGCCAACCGTCAGACTAATCAAAGTGAACTGATCAAAGTGGTCATCCACTGACCATTAAATTTCAGCTCTAATGGTTAAAAATATAAATGGAACAACAACGAAAAATAGCGTCAATTTATACATCAATCAAAGACTGCATCCAATATGTAGTTCTTTGAGATTTGCTTACTTTATATATATATATAGATAGATATTAAATGTATGAAAATTGGAGAATATATATTTCAATCAAAATTTATCATGATGTTTCATTAAATATTTTATAAACTTTTCTTGGTGCCACTCTGTTTCAATGGGACGTAGAATACCTCAAACCACAGTATCTATATTAAGTTTCTTAACTAGTGTTTTAGTCTTTTATTACTACAGTACTCACTAGCACAATATCAATAATGTCCTCTACCACGATTAATTAAGCATATTTGGCATCAATATTAATTGAGCAATTTTTACAAATGCCTCACCCTGAAACGAAGCAGTACGAAAAAATTCCAATAATTGATTTTAATAATGAACTGAAAAAGTATAAATCTTACTATAAACTGAAGTAATTTTGCAAATTTTACTAAACAAGATTTTTGGTAACCGTTACGTTTATCAATGAAACAATAGAAAAGACAATTATCCAATAACTCTCCAAAAAGATTGTTCGGGAATTTCACAACAGGCCATGAATCTCATTTTTGAAAACTTGCAAAATTGCCTTGATTAAGGGTACATAAATAAAATTGCTTGTTTACCAGGTATATTGACACCAAACATGGCTAGCAGACCCATGACAATTACAGGACACCAACACATAGAATTCGTCAGTGCAATCAGCGCCATCTGTCTGCCTATTTTATTTTCCCTCGGGTGACGAGCCATGAGTCGACCCATGTTCTTATAAGACTTCTTAATAGTGAAATACATATACATATATGAACCAACAATTACAAGAAATCCCAAAACATTCGTGCAAAAGAAAATTGCAACAGAATACTCCCAACCAGCTGGTCTGTGATTCGTGATATGAAGAGCCAAACATACGCCAGAACGTGCATAAAATTGCCCCTTGAAGTAAGGTTCAATTACCAAAGGAATCGATGCCATTAAAACGGCAGAAATCCACGATAACGCTATAAGTCTATGCGTAAATCGTATACTAAATCTTTTATGCGACAGAGGAAAGCATAGGCATATCAAACGGTCTAGAGTTATGTAGGACAGTGTTTGTACGGACACTTCACTGGACATAGTGGAAAGGAAACCACAAAAATTACAAAGACCGCTCCTTTTCCATCGGTCAGAATTCTCAATGTAGATTCCTCTGTAGTGGACATCGACACTGGCGATGATGATAAGGTAAATGCCCATTAAAAAGTCAGCACATCCTAAGTTGAGAATGAGAGTGGAGCTTATTCTGTTGGCATCTTTTGTTTTGATTCTCCAGACGATGACGAATAAGTTTCCCAAGAAAGCCACCACACCTAGAACCCACAGAAAGGATCTTTGGACTGGAGTTCTCATCAAGTCTGTGCATGAGGATATGACATCAGCTGGGGGTTGGCAATTGCTGAATGGCACTTTTGGAGAAGCTTTGCAACAGAATGTATAGCTATCACTTTTTCTGAAAATTATGAGGATTATATTATTAAAATAAGTATTGCTAAAACACAATAGTATTTTTAAAAGTTTTAAACTGATTTCTTTTTCAAAGTTTGGTTTCAAGGCAAAAAAAATCAATTCACAATATTAAAATGATATTTATCAAGAACATATTTGCAAAACTAAACTGCATATACTGCATATATAGAGAGCCAATATCTCCCCATAATATAAACCTGTAATATTCAAACTCGATCAGGTATTATATTATAACATACTATACTACCATACCTAAGGAAATTATTATAAACAAATTAGAGAGCCCAGGAAATAATTATACTCATCAATACATTAAAAACTAATACTAAGCATAAACTTGCCAAAAAAATAATCTAACTAAAACGTGAATAAATCTTATTGCATAATATTGCATTCTAGGTTGGTTGGTTGGTGTCGTATCCTCTATTGAATCATATTTCATGGTGTGCTTGAATAGTTTTTGTTATTTCTATGGCATTAAAAGAATACAAATCCTCTTCTGTGGGGTAGTTTAAGAGGTGAAGGCGTGTAGCGACTGCAGGGCAGTTAAAAACATGATATGGTGTCAGTTCCACATTAAGGCAGTTGCCACAGTTTTGATATTTTCTAGTCTTATCTGTAGAAATTTTCATGTTTTTATGATGTTTTGTTCTTAGTCTGATGAGAGTAGTGGCTGTCTTCCTATAGATGTCAAGATTAGTTATTTGATCGTGGGCTTTGATTTTTAAAGGGGTGAATAGTCTTGACTTTGCAAAAGCATTTGCATCTGCCAACGTGGTTGGGATTGAATTTTGATTTAGATCTCTGGCATTTTTAGCCAAGAAATCAGCTATTTCATTGAACTCTAGGTTCACATGGGCGGGAATCCACTGCAAGAAGCAATTTTTCCGGAGACGCTGAAGTTATTCAATGATATTCAGGACAAGGCTTGAGGTTAATGCATTCTAGGATAACTCATGTATTAGTAACTATTTCTTTTTGTCACAGTGACCTGCGACATTAAAAAACGAAAAGTGATTTTGGTTAAGCCTAGAGTAAACCATGACGTTTGAATTACTAAAAAATTAATTACTAAAAAATTAATTTCAAAACATGAAAGTGAGAACTAAGTAGGGCAGAATTACTTCCCTAATACATGATTTTAAGTAATTCTGCCATTAAATTTGTTTGTATATTTTGTTATCTTGATTTTTTTTTCAACTTTTGAAACTTCATGATTAACTTTAAGTTTACCTGAATTCAGTATTCCTTTATCATTGAATTTGCCATGAAGGGTTATAAGCACGATAAAGCGTCTTCTTGACGTGGAATCTCTCAGTGCCAATGGAGAGATCAGATACGTAAAAAGCGAAGAAAAATAAATAAAATGGCGTTTAAAATATCTTCAGTATTTTTTACAACAAGGAGTTCAAAAAAATATGTCCACAGCCTTGAAATCTTAGAAATCCCGCATTTAGAGAAATTTTCAAGTTTGTTTTAGAAATAGAAAAATTTACTTTAAAGTCTCATCGGATTATTAACCTCTTTGTTTCATAATTTTTGATGCGTTATAGTTAAATAACAAATATGGAAATAGGTAATTAACTTGTAGTTTATTCCATCCTCTTTTTTTAATTTTTAATTATAAATCATAACAATTTACTATTTAAAATTAATATTTAATTTATTGATTTAAAACAAGTTTAAAGTAAGTTAGAACTGTTTGCAAATTTGTTTTAAATTTTTTTAATTCATTACAAAAAGCGGTTATTTACAATGTAGGAATTTAAAATTACGCTTATTTAAGCTAAAAACTACTATAACAAAGTATATGAACAGAAACCGTAGCTCTTGTAAATTTCTCAATTCAAAATAAAGCTCAATGTAATATAGTTTTAATTTTTATAGAATAAAATAAGTATTGAATGTACTTACAAATATTCTAAAGAGTCTAATCCTTCAAAAATATCCGATGTGAAATCAACAATATCGTTTCCAGTAATATCCCTTAGAAAAAAATTTTAAAAAAATTATAAATTTTGCTAAATTGAAGCAACAACCATTTTCAAAAACAAGTGAATTTACTTACAATACAGTAACTGAACTCAAACCGTGAAATGCCCCATCTTCTACTTTTTCAATTTTATTGTTTTGCAAACCCCTACGAAAAAAAAAATGAATTTAATTGTAAAATAATTTTAAATGAACTCAGTCGTCTCGACGATTGGATATTTAAATCCATAAAAACAAAATTCAACTGATTGAAATAAAATATAACACTGCTGAAAGAACCCAACGTAATCAAATATTTATACATAAATATTAGTAACAAATGTGCATTAACATCTATTACATAATACACCTATTGCATAATACAACGAGTATATAATACAATTTTATGGGCCGTTGCAGCCTAATGGTTAGAGAAATTTGGAAGGGGGGATCCTAGAATAGCCCACCCAGTAACGATTTTTTTAAACATCACCAAGCAAGTTATTGAAATCTCTCCAAACTAGATTTCTGGAAGATATATATCTTAAACCTGATTGATTATTTTATATGTATACCTACGCGGAAGTTGGATTTCGTTAGAAAAGAGGTAAAAGGGTTTATTTATTTATTTATTTATGCTTCTGTTCTCTTGCTGTTAGAATCATCGTTATTATTTTCTTTTTTAACCGTTATTTAATTTATTACCGTTATTATTTCATTTTTTTAATATTTTTTTGTGTGGTACCGGTTGAAAATGGCAAGCGAATGGACGAGTGAATTTTTAACTTTATTGAATGCATGAACAGGGGAGCGAAAATATTTTTAAATCATTCTTGAAAAATTTCCTGTTCATGTAAGTACATCTGATTTCGCTACTCGCTTATAGATTTTGTTTTATACTGTTTTTTTCTTGTTATTTTATTTTATTTTCTGTTTTTACGTGTTATTTTTACTTATTGTGTTCTATTTTATTTGTTGTGTTCTACTTTTGAGTGCTCCTCGCACTATTGTATTAATATATTTTGCTTTGGCTATTGATACAATATCTGAAAGCACACTTTCTTGCGGATATACGTATATTATATCTTTTATTTTCCNAGGAAGTAGAAGATCAAGAAGTTTCATTTGGTAGACGAGACGCCCCTGGGTGGGCGCCATACTCTCCAAACTGGATTTCTGGAAGATATTTCGGAGAGTGTGTCTTTAGATTTTGCTGGAAAGAAAAGTTTCTTCTTTTGTTATTTAAGTAAATTATTTTTTTTTTGAATATTTTTTGACCATTCCTCCATTTTACATGCAGTCTTAAAGGATATACTTTAATTCAAAATGTTTACTCGAAAATACACCGCTAACAATCAAACTATATGAAAGGAAAAACAATGTTTTAACAGCATAGAAAAATGCATCGGGAAAGAAGTGGGCGTTTTTAAAAGGGCACGCTTGACGTCATGACAAGTAAGGAATCACTTTTGATTTCATCTCTCGGGGTGGAGATTTCGTGCACTAAAATGTCTGGTAGTTAAATAAATATATTTTTGTAAATAAAAACATTCTTCCAAGTTAATTCTTTAAGTTAAATTTGAAAATTATTTTCTAATGTAACAAACTCAACTTTTTTAACAATAGCAAATGAACAAAAAATGTAAAAAGCTCGGAAACAACAACAGCAGAAAATTTAAATAAAATATTTGATTAACAGTAATAAAAAGATTCCAAAATTTAAATAAAATTTAAATACTTACAGTTTTTCTAAATTTGACATCCCAGTAAACGTGTTTCTTTTAAGAACTTTCAGAGAAATATCAGTAAGATTCCTAAAATGATTAAAATAAGATTAATTGAGCTAGAAACCTATAATAAGGTATATAAATAGCAAAAACTTGATAATTTTTGAATAACATAAAAATATATTTCGATATCGATGATTAGATTTGTTAATTCTATGATATAAATTTTAAACAAATTTCTTTTATAAATACTTTTACTTTCATAAAAAAATATCAAATTCCTTACCGATATATTTTATAAAGGACAATAAAATATTTCGCCCGAATATTTAGTACTTTGTTATTTTATAAATATGTTTTCAAATAAAATTATGTTTTTTTTTTACTTGATATTAAATTATTTGACTTGGATGAAAATCACTACGTTCGGTGATAGGCAAGAGCTAATTTTTTAATTTCCTGTCCATACTATTTCCTTAAACTACATTGAATAATAACGAAACAAGAAATAACATACTCTAACATTACAGAATAATACTATTTCAAAATCATATCTGTTAAATTAGAAACCGAAAATGCTTAATGAAAAAAGACTATCGCATACATGTGAAGCTATATTTGTTAAAACAATTAAATATTTTCATACAAAAAAAAATGAATTTTTCAATCTCTTTAGTTAAGCACAGGCGCTTTAAAAATTATTCATTGTGATTTCCTGTTTTTAAATATAGGCAGTTTAGAAGTTGTCCTAAAAACTTTTATTATTAATCACATTTATTTTATATCATATTTTATTAATTCAATTTACTGGAAATATTTATAGAGAAAAAGATAACTTGTGCGACTACTGTTGATGGTACTCACAAGACAAGGAGACTCTTCAATCCATGAAATGCATCTGATGAAATGTACATCAGCGTTGGATTATTTTCAAGATTTCTGAAAAATTACAATAACATATTACAAAGGAAAATATCAAAACAGCTTAAAAATCAAAGTATAAATTAAGGTAAACAAATCTCTAACAATACTCACAAATACCGAACATTGTTTAATCCCTTAAATGTAAAGTTCGAAATAACCGTCAGTTTATTATGACTCAAGTCTCTATGGAAAAACATACAAATGTTTTAAAAAGATTAATCACGAAGTTGAAATAAATCAAAAGATCTCTCAATGAAAGAAAAAAACATTCAATTCTATTTCTAAAAACTGTGTAATAGTTAAAACATTCACAATAAACTGTTAAAAGCATACTTACAATTTGTATAAATTTCGTAGACCTAAAAATGCTTCTGGTGGTAAAACCGATAAATCATTGAACTGAAGATAACTAAGAACATAAATTAAAATGCATGGTAAATAAAAATTTCAAAAATTCTGGGAGAAATACAATCCTGTATGTTTTGTTCTTTATAATTAAATGGCATTAATATTTATTATTTGAAGTACAATTTAATTATTCTAAAATAAAAAGGAACTATTGAATTATTTTTAAGAAAAAAGTAATGCTATCTAATTCATTTTAGAATGTAGAAATATTAGTAACTACTGATTAAACCTTTTATTTGTTTCTTATTAATGAGATGAAATTCCTTCTGTAATTTTGAGAAAAAATATATAAACTCTATGAAAGTAAACTTTTTAAGCATTAAAATTTCATGTAAAAATTTGTATTAATGCATTAATACTAAAATAATCTATCAGTGTGCTTTCATGAGAAAGTACTAAGGTTTTCAGAATTTATTTAGATGGAAATATTTTTTAACTTCTTAAAGTATTACTACATAATATTTGGCCGATTTACATCGAACTTGATACTTAGCCGATTTACATCGAATTTGATACTTAGCTGATGATACTTAGCCGATTTGCATTGAACTTACATTTACATCGAACTTCATACTTAACCGATTTCAATTAGACTTGATACTTAGCCGATTTACATTGTACATGATACTTATCCTATTTACATTGTACTTGATACTTAACTGATTCACAGCGAACTTGATACTTAGCCGATTTATATCGAATTTAATGTTTGAATGATTTACATAAAATATACATATGGTTTTATACATTTATCATTCTTAACATATCCTTACCAAATTTAAAGTAGGAAAAGTATGCACATTACGATCGCAAATTATTATTTAAGCTAGGAAAAAGCAAATACGCTATCGAAATCTGCTGAATCAGTTGTAAAGAAAGATAGATAAAAACAAAAACTTTGAAACTAATTTGAATAATGATGAAAATTGGATGTGTTTTTATTGCTTACAATTTTTCTCCGTTTCTTCTAATATGGTTTTGATGTTTGCTTTCTGTCCCACTTTCCACATTAGTAATTTGTTAGATTTCTATAATGTTTTTTTTTATCCTTGCTTAAATATTATTTCGCAGCCTCTCAATTGTATGATTTTTGCACCTAATTTTTAAAAAGAATTCTAAAAATATGAATTCCACAGATGTTCTTTACGTAACACCCAGTATAATAAGAATCGAAAAATATTTCTTTAAAACTATCAATACCTTCTCTTTTAAATAATGTTTCTATAAACATAACCTTATTTCACATAAGAGAGGAAGAACTATGCTTGTAGTTAATTATTAAAATTCGCCATATAAACCATTAACCAATTAAAAGCTAGGTTGATTAATCTATATATTTGCGTAAAAATGAGTGTGTGCAATACTCACAGTTCCCCTAAACTCCAAAATCTTGAAAAGTTAGTGTTTCCTAAGTCGAGCTGATTGCAGCTAAAATTCCTAAAAATAATATAGAATTTATGATTAAAAATTTAAAGAAGAAAGCTTAGTTAAAAAAGTGTATGAAATAAAGTGTAAAAAATAATAAAAAATCAAGCAATATTTTAAATTAAGTTTTAGATGAGACAGATAGAATTGTTTCATAGAATAATTAACTTTTTTAAATTAATGTTAAATTTTATTATCTTCTAGTTCGTAAGTCTTTATTTTTCCATGTTCACTAAATTTCAAAAAGCGAGGAGAAGATATTAATAGAAAACAATCATTTAAGATTGTCTTCTGGCAGAAATCTTCCACAAAAAGCTATACTACAAAAAAAATAAATACTGCATCTCTGAAATTTTGTTTTCTATTTACAATAAAAATTTATTTAATTAAATTAAATTATAGAGAAAAATAGTTTTACAGTAAACTTACAGGCTTCGGATTTCGTTTGAAAGATCAGAAGGTAACAATGTTGCATTCGAGCCCGCGCATGATACAAACAAACCGATGCAGGTACAGTTTTCAGGGCAGATAAAATCTAGAACAAATTAAATCTAGAATAAAGACGGAAGTAAAAGACTGAGATTTATCTCATACATTTATGAAAAAAAATAACTGAATAAATTAAGATGCCTATAATTGAAGCAAGGCACAAAACCATCCCTTTCCCTCCCTTGTTTCTCAAAATTGTCTAATTTCGATTTTCGAAAGCCTTTTATTTCAGTTTTAATTTTTTTAATGATTCAAATAAATAAAAAAAAACATCTACACTGTTTGAAATTTCTCGGAAAAAATGGTTAAATTCCAATTTATGGAATGGTTATTTTACCATATTTAATCAACACAATCAAATAACCATAATTAAAATGGTAATCAAACTGTTAAGTTTGAGAAAACTGTTTATTAACTGCTTTCACCTTATACTGTCAAACAACCAGAATTTTATCGCTCCAACTAGAACCACCTCATGAAGCTATTTAGTTCTTTGCAACTGCGTACATATCATAGCCGAGTGGGCTAATATGTCAATCTCGTGGCCGGCAGAACTGGAGTTCGAGTCCTCGTGTTGACACCACAATATTTCCTCCATTTCCTTCAACACATGCTCCAATGCCCATTACCTTACGAAAAGCCGAGCTCCTATGTCTAGTTGAATAATTAATTTTTTTACGTTTTTGAAAAATGATAGTTGTAAATGGTTAAAAACCGTATAGTTTTGTATTCATGGTTTTATAACCATACTTTTTGTAAATGGTTTAAAAAACATAAAAGAGAAAATGTTTTTTACCGTAAACTTTACGGTTAATCGGACGGACAGACAGCTGCCAGTTATTTTACCATAATTTTAGAAGAAAAATTTTAACAGTGTATATAAAATATCATTCTATAATATATATACAGTTTTCCTGACCCTCTTACAGCACTGAAAAGTAACATTTTTCACTGGATTTGAGCCCCGTTTGATTGTTCTGTTTAGATAGATTGTTCTAAAATGCTTCTTTAAAAAACCATTGTGCAAAGAATAGGGCAGAAGATTAGTGTTACAGCACATGGCAGAAAACCTTATAACATGTGCAGAACTATAAGACTAAAAATCTATATTATATAAAACGCTAATACGTACGTATGTATGTATCAATAAAACCGATGATATTTCTTTTCTCGCGCTGGCAACAGTTTTCATTTTTAATTGGTTGGATTCGGCGCGCAAGAGCACGTAGTTAGCAACCAGATAACGATAACCAGAGTGAGCATTATCAGGTTGTTCAATTCAGGATCATGCACTAAAAACATGACAATATATAATTTAAACTCAATTAGGAATTAATTAATTAATTGAAGTGAGAATGCTTTAAAAGGCCGCTGTTGAATTGATATTTTTCTACTGGGAGCTACCTAAACGTCTAAAAAACGTTTAAGTGTTTGTATTGAATGCATTGAATTTTTTTATATTTCGCGTTTATTTATGCATTGAATTTTCACGCTTTAAAATGCAGAATATTAGTGAAGCAATATTTGATAATTTATTTTGCTAATATGTTTCTTATTTAGCTAATGTTTTGATTTTTTCACCATGTACAATCTAAATAGCTAATATACTTTTTTAAAAGCCAATAAGAACATTGGTAGAATTCTTCTACATAAGTACAATACTATGTCTTTGATGATAAAATACTATGTCTTTGATGATAATATATTATGTCTTTGTGCTAGAACATTGTGTTCATTGGCGAGCGAGCGCAGCGAGCCATGGTTCACGGCGTGAACCACATGGGATTGCGTAGCAATTCTCGGGGTTGGCGAGCGTTAGCGAGCAGGGGACGGAGCCTCCTAGTAATCATTTAAAGAATTTCTGAAAATTTTACACTTTCATATTTATTTGGAAGTTCTTTTGTTGAAACAGTTTAATAAGCTCTGAGATTTTCTGTTATATGTGTCCAACTTGTTTCTTATCATTTTGTATTAATCAGATGAATTTATCTTCAACTAGTATAATAATCTTAAACACATTGCTTTATTTTTTTCAACTCTTTAAAATTTGTAAATGGTTAAGATAAGAAAAATATTAAATCAAAAATTTATTATAATAACTACTCAAAACATTAAACTTATTTAAAATCATTCTTAATAGCTGATCAACAGTAAAGCGGAAGATATAGTATTTTGAAATTCATCAACACTGCTTGAAATTCCGGATCAAATAAAGGCAAAAAGTACCGGCACTCAGGATGGCAATACTTTATATTGTAAAACCCATTTAGCGATACTTGTTTCTGAACAAAAAAAATCTAGTATACGGAAATTTTTACATTAATAATTTCCGTAAAATCACTGAATCACTCTAATTAAATAAGATAGGTTGAACTCCGACCCACCCCAGGGGGGTATACGGCGATAAAAGTAAAATTATTACAATAAATTTCTCTAAAAACCAAAATTACAGTAAAATTTTGCCAAATGACAGTGGTGGTGATCAGTTAAAAATGGATTAACAATAACCCTTGACAATTAAAAACATGTGTTAAAAGCAATGAAACCCAATAGCGCCGGTGTGAATGTCGAGAATTAAATGATTATAATAATAAGGAAACAAGAGATAAAAAAAAATCTCAAAACTAAAATCAATGAAAGCTAAAAGTCCAAATAGTAAATATCTAAAAGTAAAAGTCTAAAAGTAAAAATTCAAAATGTAAGTCTAAAAGTTGATTAGTAAAAATTAACGATGACATGCTCTATTGTAGGTTCATGACTGGGGTCAGTTGATCTGGGGCTAGAATGTCCTCAAGGGTTTGTTTAATAATTTGAGTCACAATTTTCCTGCAGGTCAATATAGCGAAGAATTGATGTTCCTCTTCGCAAATATTCATGTGGGTTCCACGAAGTGCCCGGAATCTTGGACAGTGCTTAATTAGATTATCAATGTCCTGTCTCACTCCACAGTAATTGCATGAAGCTGATTTTTTGAAATATTTTTGTTGATTGGTCCCGAACACTCAGTGGCCAGTAAGGAGTTGGTTTAAATAAAAATTGGCCTGCAGGCGCTTAATGCTTGGGTCTTTAAAAAATTTACAGGTTTGTCTTCCCTTGTCACTAGACCTCCAGTCATCTCTCCAGCGGTTAAAAGTAATGTTCTTAATGTAAGATTTAATTTCGCATTTTTCACCCGGGATCTCAAAATCAATCTGGCCAAGCTTAGTGGCTTCCTTAGCAACCCAGTCGGCCTCTTCATTCCCTTCAATGCCTGAGTGTGCTTTAATCCAATTTATATTATAGTTGCTACTCCACATGGCTTTGGTGTCTTCTGTAAGTTTGAAGTGTTTGCGTGGGTCCTCCAGGCTCATAAGTGAAGAAAGGGAATCTGTGTAAATGCTTGCCATTGGAGAACCCTGGTTTTTAAGCAATTGGAGCGCTGTCTGTATCGCAAGGAGCTAAGCCAGATAAATACTGCAGTTGTTATTTAAACGTGCCGAGATGGTACTGATGGTTTTGCCATTTATCTTTATTACAACACCATATGCAGATTTGTTTATAAGTCTACCATTGTTCTCAGTTTGAATTCTCGACCCGTCTGGGAAGATTTCAATGCCATGGTTAGTTGGAAGAAATTTCCCCTAGGGCAACGCGAGAGAGTTTGAGGGATGAACCAGTTTGGGAGGTAGTAAGAGGTGATCAGGAAAGTACATATGATTTTCAAGCCAATTGAAGTCTTCTATCCTCCATTTCCAGATATTTCTTTTAATGTAGATCTCGTCAATGATTTTATAGTAGATTGGTTTTACTCCGGCCAGTATCTGGAGTGCATCAGTACTGACAGTCCTATAAGATTTGGTAATGGTAATAAGCGGAATTCTTTGAATTGATTTTAGTTTTTCTCTTATTTTGACTGTGTTTCTAAACCAGACACAGGCCGCATAGATGATGATTCTCTCGGTTGCCTGGAGGTAGATCTTATTAAATAAAAATAATTGTAAAAATTACGGTATAATATTTTACGGTTGAGTGGATTTTACGGATGATGCACCCAAAGTGCCGATATTTTATACCGTAATTTGATTCCCAGTTTTTTACAGCATACTTTAAATATGAATTCGATGTAACAATTTAATCATTCATACATATTTTTAAAATATATATACGTGTATATTCATAGTATTTATTTTTCTTAAAAGAATGGTTTTAACAGCTTACCACATAAAAGCTCATCGTCGCCAATTGGGCAATTCCATTCTCCGTTACACAATTTGTTTAGAGGTAAACAAGCACTTGAATTGTAGCATTTATATTTTCCAGGGCAGACGTAGTTACCTAAATATATATTTTTTTAAACTTAATACAATAAACAATTCAATAAATCTAAGATGTAGAAAAGTAAAAGTTGTCTTTGATTATATATTCTTTTGTTTTGTGTTTGACTCCGTAAACATACTTACCAGTTAAATGTGTTTCCGATGTAGTTTTAAATGTAGCCTTTAGAAAATACTTAGGTATTTAAAGCTATAATTAAATTTTAACGCCATTTTATTGCCAAATAAGATTTATATCAATCAAATTCCCTAAAGTAATACATTTTAATGTATATCTACCAGCTAATAATACAACTTTTAATCATCTCTAAGCCGCCAAAAGCAGAATTTATCTTCAAAACCATCAAACAAAATGTTGACTATTTTCTGACTAACAAGAGTGTTCAAACTGAAACAATAGCATTCCGGTGACAATACAAATTGAGCGACAAAATAGAATAATTCTTCTGCTAGGAAGTCTACTTTAAAAAATTTATTTTTAAAATTACTATACCACTTTATTATTAGTAATTTTATTTTGTTTAAAAAATAATTTGGTTTAATAAATATAGGTTTAAATAATGACGTCCTGCGGCAGAGTGCACGCACTTCTAGCTCTCGTGCTACAGGTCCTGGGTTCGATCCTCGGATAAGGCAAGGTTGACTCAGCCTTTCATCCTAACGATAAAATGATTACAAAGCATTTTGGAGATTAAATGCTGGGGGTTCCGCATTTAGCTGACCACCCAACCGGAACATCTGCTCCTGTACTGCTGAGCCCAAGGTCAAGAAAACTGAGATGGGCACAATGGGTTTTGGCTCTCTATGAGCTAACTTGACAATGAGTATTGTTTCGTTTCAGTTTAAGTAATAAAGTAAAACTTGGTGCTAAGTGCAATGTAAACCTTTTTTTGCATTTATGTTTTTAAAACGAATAAATAATGAATGAAAATTTTTAAAAAAAAAGTTATTACTTTTTTTTTATTTTATACATTTTCAAAACCCCACACTCACATGTTTGTGCCGATGTAGGTCACATCTTGAAAAGATCTGAACGTCTATTGCAGTGACATTATTCAAGCCCCGATCTCGCTCAAAAATAAGTTTGAATTTAATTTCAAAAATTAAAAAAAGTTCTTTCTGGAAATTCCTTTTTTTTCCCTCTAAAGAATAATTAATGTATGCTTTTATTTGCGTCTTTTACATAGTGAATTACTCAACAGAAGTTAGGCACCTACCACAATTGATTTCATCTCCGCCACCAATACAATCCCATATTCCATTACAAATATACATAGTTGGTATGCAGTAAGAGTTCGGGCACTTAACATATTCGTCTGGACACTGAAAATTCTCTAGTAAATGGAAAGAAAAAGAAATTAATTCTCAAGATAAGTATCATATAATTAGACTAGCATTTTATAAAATACCGAGCTATTAATAAAGTAACTCTTCTTTCATGTGACTTTGAAATTAAATAATCAGTTATAATTTTTGAAAAAAAATTCTTTTCTTTAAATACTCTCAAGCGCAACAAAAATTATTTTATAAATATTTTTCATGGGTGCATACAATAAAAACTTCTAAAAATCTCTTAAAGGATTACGATTGGCTATCTCATAATTTAAACAAAAATCTCAGATCAATATTAGACTTTTAATTTCCAGATAGATTCTTGAGGTATCAACTGTATTTATACGATCATTTTGTTAAGCTTAATGGACACAGGACATTCGAAACAAAGGGTGCATTTTTTATACTATCATTTTTAAATTTCAGCAGTAGCATTAATAGAAGTCTGTGTGCAAAATTTCAGAAAAAATACTAAATAGTTTTAAATTTATAGCTAAAAGTATAGTTGTTAATTGTTGGTAATTAAAAAGCTTCTTGCAAACGATTTCTAATTTTTTTAATAAAATTTTTACTCAAATACGTTGTTTGAAGCATTTAAATAAAGTTAAGTGATTATGGTAACTGTATAAAAATGTAACGTAACTAGGCATTGCAGTTTTATTTTGTCATTGAAAATTTCTTCAAAAAACACGCTTTACTTATGCTTGTTCAAAAATTAAAAAGTTAAATTAGAATATTGAGTAATTAAATGCATTTAGAATTAAACAGAACACATCAAAGAGTATCTGGAAAAAAATATTTAATTGCAATAAAACAAAAATTGGTGCCTTAGGAACTTTTTGAAGCTGTGAGAAATTCCAATATGTGAAAAAGCAACTTAGTCAACGAGAACTACATATTGATTTATGGACATTAATAAATTTATAATCTTATAACTCGATACGAAAAAATTTGATTTAAAGACAGTATGTTGTTTATTACTTAGTAATATGTAATTTTATTAGTATCTCTGAAATCAAACAATGGAGTTTTGAAGGATTTTTTCTCATTCTGAGCTTCCAGTGTCCCCTCAAATTGAAATTAAAAGAATTTTGTGAGCTTTGAGTATAATAAGAGAAAATTTCAACAGATCTTTTTTTACTGACATTTGGAAGACAAATACCCTTATTTTTCAGATGAGGAAATAATATGAACACTTTCTAACTAGAATCAAACATTAGTTAAATAAATTAACTTGTAATAAAAAAAACCTTTTAATAAAAATTCAATAAAAATTGCGGCTTTCAATTCAAATATTACAAATTAATCTATTCAAATTAACACTGTTCCACAAAGGGAAAAAAATGTTTCTCCATAAGTATTTTTTTTTTTTTTTTTTTTTTTTTTTTTTTTTTTTTTTTTTTTTTTNTTTTTTTTTTTTTTGAGTTTTACAGAATAAAATTTAAAAGTCTGGAAATTTTTAAATAGCAGCAAAATAAAAATTATTGTACTACACTGAGAAAAACTTATGGTCAAGATTACCTGAATATGGTAAATTTCACCATTCCCTGGCTCTATGGGAACAGCAAAAAGATCGGTAATTGATACCGAAGCTCTTTGGTAATGATTTTGGTAAAATTAACAGGAAAATATCGTTTTATAATAAGTGATAAAATTTGGTAAATCTGGTAATGTTATCATGATATCATAGAGCAAGGAATGAAAACCATTTATTCGGTCAAGTTTGCTTTTCAGTTTTCTATTTTTTATTAAATGAGAGATAATGAAAATTATAATTTTGAAAACAAAAATTTTCGATAAATCTTCATCCTTTTCAATGGCTCGCCAGCCCAGGATGGGCCGTAGTCTTCATCAATATCAAATTCCAACCTGCCCTCTTCTTGGATAGACTCTTCCAGTTTATAACTTTGAGAACTCTTAAATCTGTTTCAAGGCAGTCGATTCAAGGGGGTCGTCAAAAGGGGCAGTCGTCTTCCCTTTTTTCGAGCTCCGGAAGGTCTTGCGTTGAAAATGATTTTGGTGACCCGCTAATTCATTCGGTAAACCGTTACCATATAAACGGGAAAATTATGAAATGAATAGTTTACTTCATAATACGGTAATTTTACCAGAATATTTTTCTGGGTGAAATATTAATTACATAAAATTAAGAAAATACTAAACATGCTTAATAATGAGCTAAATTAGGGATATAACAATAAATATTTATTACACAATAATTTCAAATAAGAAAATCAAATACTTTGCATAAATCATGCCAAGACAAATTACTTACCACAATTTTTAAGGTGCGTAACATCTCTACAACCTAATTGATAATTATACTGATCAAACTCATAGAGACATCGAGAAGATATGTTTCTGTAAACACCGGAGAGACATTTCATGTAGTTGGTAGAATTTGTACAATTCTCATTGTATTCAACAGCTAAATAAATTAATAAACATTTATAAATCAATTTGCAAACTATAAAAATCATTAAACTCTGGTACTTTTATCCACAGCTAAGTAAAATAATAATTTAATTACTCAATTTAAGAATTATGAAAATAAATATACTCAAGTATATTTATTTTGTTGTATTAGGTACTTTTTTATACAAATGACAAAAACAAAAATTAAACATATGAAAAAATATTCTTTTAAATTAAATATGCAGCATGTTTTGTTAAGCTGAACAAATATATTTTAAGCTTAATTTTTTCATGTGTTTTTAATAAGTATTTCATATATGCAAATAAAAATAAGAATTCAAAAATAAAACTGTGTTTAGTTTTAGAGTTAATTTCACTATGGTGATTTATGAAAATATAAAATATGGAGCTTTCAGACAAAAAAAAAATTGATCCCTGTTTTAACTAGAAAATTTTAATTAATAAAAATATGCTTATTTAATTTTTTAACATGTAAACAAGATATTAATCGTAAGTGAAATATTAATTCCAAGATATTCTCTCGTTCAGGATACAATTTACCATACAATACTCCAATGCAATGCTGCACTATAAACCCATCATAGCTCATAACAAAATAAACGTTTATTTCTTTATTAAAATCCCACTAAATCCTTACCATTTCCCCTACATTCTAAACGTCCAATCCTGTGAAATCCATATTGTCCTGTTTTATATGTATGCCCAAATCTAACCTAGAATTAAGAAGAAAAATTTTGCTGGAAAATTCAAAATGAAAAAGATAAATTTTTTTCTCTCAAAATTATATACAGGGTTATTCATAATTCCCTCCTGGGTTTCGAAGCATTATAGTAAAAAAACGAAGACGAATATGGCAAAAAAGAACATATGAATTATTCCGAAAGTATTCAAGCTTTAATTTAAGCAGTTGCCGGTAGATGGCAGTAACATGTAAAACTGAAGCCAGTTGTAGTAAACATAAGGTTGTAGTAAACAGAGGGAATTATGAATAATCCCGTAGTATTACTGACATTTTAAAGTCAATGTCGTGTTATAAATGGTTCTCATGAAAGTTTTAAAAAAAATTACTTCTAAAACAGGCAAAGTTCTCTTGTCCGTCAGATATCCTTCGTCTTTAGACCATTCAAAATTCTTCACGGAATCGCAATTGCAGGTATAATTAGGATTTCTACAACCTGTCTCGTAACATCCACAGGTGAGATTCGATTTGGCCCCTCCCCAATAGTACTGGGGTTTCTTATCCCACGATACCCACCAACTGATAGGTTTCAAAGAACCAAAGTGAAATCCTGTACCACAACATTCCCAGACAATGTTTTGTCGACATGTCTTCGAGGCATTGATGAGGGCTCTTATTTTGTCCATTCCGTTGTCGTAGACAATTGAACGTATGTAACTTCCTGGACTTTCGCGACTGGATCGAACATATATCCTTTCTTCTGAATCATGATTCACAACTGTGATGACTTCGCTGGAATCGGAGTCAATTTCGCAATAAACTGGGAAAGGTGGAACTGATCCATCTGAACCATCAGAATCAATGACGTAGTAGCCACTGGTTCGTATGTTGTCTAGCATGTAGAGATCCAAGCATGTTCTTCGATCTGAATAATAAAAGAATGAAATTTTATTAAAAATGCAATAAAAGTACAATGTTAAAATTAGAATAAAGAGTACAATGTTAAAATTAGAATAAGGAGTACAATGTTAAAATTAGAATAAAGAGTGCAATGTTAAAATTACAATGAAAATACAACGTTGAAAGTATAATGAAAAATAAAGTATCAAAATTATATATTTTCACTACCTAATACCAAAATTCTAGATAATGAATATTTATTTATCCTCTACAAATTTAATAAAATAATCTATTATTCTCGATTCATCGACGAACACATAATTTCAGGATGAAATATTGCACTCATTCTCACTAATATTAATTTAAAAAAAACAACTCTACAATCTTAACAATTTTGTGTTTTACATTAACAGTGTTTTTTATTTAAATAAAAAAAGCTTTGTTTTAGTCAAGTCTAGTTTTTGATTCAATTTTAATTTTTTAAACAAGTCTGGCAAAGTTTACTTAATATCAGCAAGTATATATCAAAATTATATTTATCAAGCAAAATAAGGCAGTTATAAATTAAGTTAATATGCTAGACTAACATTTCTCACGAAAGAAGCATATAAAATGTTTTAAATGTAGCTATTTATTTTTCGAAATAAGCTTATAAATACACATTCTTCCCTACTCGCCTTGCAATCTTCCAGCACGTTGCACCTTTAAATTTTTCATGCACGATATTTTCGAAGTGCTGGATTGAGGAAGAAGTATTGAGTACCTAGAACTCTCAACATTTTTTTATTGGAGCTACATTAAATCCCTTGTGTATAAGGACAAAACTATTTTTGTTGAACAACTTAAGAGGTTTGTCATTGCACCTTTTAATAAATTTCCATCCTAAATACTGCAAAGTTAATTCCATTACTGCGATGAATGGTGACATCTCTGTGTTAATTGGCATAAAAGCTGGCTAGATTGAGCAGTACCTTTCATTATGTTGTGGTTTAAAAAAAGGTCTTTTTAAATTTATAACCAAAGATTTCACTACAAATTTTGATTTTACCTACATTAAATCATTTGTACATAAGGACAAAATTACTTTTGTTGAACAGCTTAAAGCACGGGTCATTGTTGCTGTTAATAAAATTCCATCCCAAATACTGCAACGTTAATTCTGCTACTGTGTTAAATGGTGGCATATCTGTATTCATTAGCATGAAAGCTGGACAGGTAAAACTGTATTTTGTATCCCGTTGTTGTAGTCGTGTAAATAATGTTTATTTAAAATTTTATAATAAAGTTAAATTTTGTCCATATCATACGCGATCACCTGTGACAGATACTGCCTAATTACTGGATTGGGGAAGCGGGATTGAGCACCTAAATCTTGCAACATTTATTGATTGGGTCTACATTAAATCTCTTGTGTTCAATCCAAGGATATTGTTCATCCTGCGATTCAGGTTGTGTATATAAAATTCTTTGCCTACAAAAGAATTGTTACTTTTGAAGCATCCAGTATCACATTCTATTTAACCCTCATTCGTCTAAAGTTATGTGGAAGAATTTTTTTGCGAAATTTAAAAGGCCTTTGAGTATTTAGTAACGAAATGTCAAAGGTGATAGAATTACATGGAATCACTCTAATTTTACCAAGTTTTTATAAATATGAAATTTCACTCATTTTTTACTTTTCACTTTCTTTTAAATACAGTTTATAACGAGTGTGAAGGGGCCCAATTATTTGCACGTATTAACTGAGTTTCGTAAAAATCTTCGAAGTTCATCCATACTTACCAAATCATAAATATTGTACTTAATTTATTCATGTTTTACTTCTGTCCAGTACAAAATAAAAAGCTTATTTGCTTTGAGCTATCTTATTGTCTTTATGTTGCGTTATATTGCTCTTTGGTTAAAACTCATGACCTGGAAAACATCGTCATTAGTCCTCTCCTATTCCCAGGATTTATGACTCATCATTAATTTTCAGTTGTCTTCGAAATGTTAAACAAATTGTTTCAAGAAGAGATTATCTTAGCTGAATCATGATGAAATTTACGAATCACTGAAAGCTGGGGTTTGCTCATTTAAAGCAAGCAATTCTCCAACAGACTTAATATTGAACCAGTCAAGTATTTCCAATTCCTTCGCTAAGTACGGGTTCACATTAAATCAGGGCTCGTTATAAGCAAGCTCGACTGTACAAAGTTTTATACGTAAAATATTTTTTCTAAGGAATTACCTCTCTTCGAGCAAAGATTCTTCTCTTCCTCTCTCCCCATTCTATCTTCTTTTCTAGCTAAAAAAAATCCAAATAAAAAATTTTAATATTACAATGTGTGCCTCAAGACAAAATTTTTCAAAGAAACTAGTTTAAACCATGAAGACTTAATTTAATGCATACAAATCAAAGAAATACTAGATATGCTATTAACATTTGCTGCTTAAATATCTTTATTATCAGAGAAAATAACTGACTATAAATTAGTACGCTTATATATGCACTTTTTCCATCATTAAGCAAAATCCTTAAAATATTTTTCTTGATTTAAAATTTGCAGATATTAAAAAAGTATGATAAAATATCTTGAAGAACATGCATTGGATTGGTTAAAAAAAATATACGTATAAAATCTGCTTAAAAGTTCAATTTAATGATTCCGAACTAGACCCACAATCTGAGAGTAAGGCTGGAATTCGAGATCCTAATAAAGTAGTTTGCCTGCATAATTTTCATTCCATTGAAATGCATCATGGACTAGATGTTTTACTCGAAATTCATAATTGAGAAATCAAATTAATGGATTTTTTATGAAGATTCTAATTCTGCAATAAAAATGGCAGTTTTTATCGAAAATTTCGAAATAATCCAACGCTCCATTAATTGATTGAGGGAGGTAAGTCATTAATTATGACTTTTCAAAGCATCATAAGTATCTAATTACTTATTTAATCATATTTCTCTAGATTTCTCCATTTTAAACATTAACTCATTTGCATTTTTTATCGATTATATCAATGTAGTTCTTTTTCATCAATTATATAGATGGACCAAAATTAAACAAAAAAACTTAAATCAAGGTTGGTAGTTCATTCTGGTATTCATTGAATCCAAATGTGCAAAAAATAAGTTTGGGTCATATTTTAAGAATTTGATATTGCGTTTCACCCCAGATGATGAAGTTAAAGTCAAATTTGGTGCACTTCAATAGGTCTTTTAAAAATGTATTGCACGTATATTTTTAGATTTTTGATGTGGTGCTTACGTCTCATAATATTATACCATTTCTATACTTTTCAGACTGCAGTATTTACAGAATTTTTTGAAAATGTTGTAACAAACTTTTAATAGAGTGTAGGGTACATCACAAGATTTGAAAATATCATAACAGTCGATGATCAGAATTGTCGTTGTAAGCGAATAGGCGATGGTTGTCTTCCCACTATGATGATGCAACCGTTCATCTTGCAAATCTACATGAGTGCTTCTAAGTAATTTCGATGTAACTGATTTATGGAACTTTTACATCTTTCAAAAGAGCTCTATCAAAGCTATCATACATCACGAACCAACGGACTCTGCAATGGATCTCATGGCAAAGACTCATTTGTATTTCAAAGAAATCGGTGTGTGCACATCATTTTGGGGTGAAAACTCTGAGTATCTGAGTAGAATTCTAAACTGTATTCATCGAGTGCGCCATTGATATCCAAAAAGAATTTTCAATTAATTATTGTAAAGTCCTTTCAAATCATATACCTCAACGAGAACTTTCCTTTCAATCTCTCAGTAAAAAGACTTTTTCCTCTCAGAAAAGATCATCTTTTGATGATTCAGCAATCCTTGAACTGTATTTCGTTAGTTTTCATTTTGACATGAAAGCACGTGATTTTTGAAGAAACGCTAGAACGCTCAACTCGAAATCTCATTGTTGTGCATTTTGGGAGTTGGTAATTAAAATGACGGAACTAGTAGGATGGTTAGATTAAAGAAAATAAACAAGTAATAAATAATCTAAACATAACAATAAGATTAACATAAATCTAAACAAGCCTTCAGGTCTGTATGGTGGACAAGAATTTGGCTTCGTACTAGGCAGATTCCGGGTTCGCAACCCGCTTCGGACATAGGTGTGAGTTATTTGTGTAGTTAAGCTGACATTGAGTCAGCTATATGGTGCCCACGAATAAGTGATTATTATAATAGTTAGATGCATTACACATTACTAGTTTGTTTTACTTGGAAAAAATAGAATGGCCAACTATTTCTTTGTTAATGACGAAATTTTTCCTTGAAAAAGTGACGATAGTTCCTTCGTTACTTTGCTCAAATGCTCTTACGGAGCATATACCAGAAAACGGTTTCGTCAAAAGCGAATAGAGTTTCCGGAAATTTGAATATCCATTTTTTACAGTGTACGTTTCCATTCATTGGTTGCTTTACAATCACGCTACCTAATGGTGTATCCAACCTCGGCAAAACATTTTTCTAGTAGCTCAACATTTTTGAGTGACCCAGTACCTAAGAATTATTATTATATTAATTTGTAGAGTTTTTTACAATAATTTTACGAAACATAAATTCCTGTTTTTATCAATAATGTGTCACACATTGTAACAAACTGCTAAAATCATCAAACGATTCCTTACTACACCCAATCTGCTCATCTTCATGATAATTTCCAGGACAGTCTCTATGCCCGTCGCAAAGTGCATGCCTAGGAATACAGGTACCATCATAGCACTTGAAAGTTGCGTCGTTATTACAGTATCCTGTAAGGTATACAAGAGAAAAAATAATCACTGGTTCAAAAGACTGCATATATAGACACTATTTTTCTGTTACAGTTAAAAAATATGTTCAGAAATACATAATATTATCAAATCAAATAAAGAATGGTGTCTTAAAACTATTACAGTAATCGTTTTCTCACAGCATGGCAAGAATTTTTTCTGTCTTTTATTTTTAACTATCATGGGCTCACCGTTCCGTGACTAGGTAATAACAAGTTTCAAACTACTGATAAAAAAAAATTAAGATATTATAATAAATTTGAAATGATGGATAACAAATAACCAAAAATAAAATTCTATCCAGAAAATTGAATCTGTATTTAAACTCAGACTATAGTCAAAATATCATTATGTCAGGAGAAATTATTATTTCCGGAAGATCATGTTTTAGCAATTAAAATTTTAAAACGTCTATATTTAAACTTTTATGCTCAGTGTGTTTAAATTGTCACTTTGAAACGTTAAAAAATTAAAAAGTTGGCATTTAAACTTCATTATTGTTTACTTTGTTCGAATGATCACTTCAAAATAGTTAAAGATGTCCCAACATTAACTTCACAACAGAAATTTTGAAAATTTAAAAAATGATAAGAAGGAATTCAAACAGATATTCTTCTAACATTTATATTTCAAGTCTTTTTTATTATTATTATTATTTAATTTTACTGAATATATTTATTTTATTTTTCCAAAAAATTATTTTAAAATTTTAAAAGATAAATAAAATAAAATAAAAACATGTAAAGAGTTTTTGAAGAATATTCTTAACTGAAAGTGCCTTGAAATTTCTTTTTTAATAAAAAGAAAGGAGGTATACCTTTGCAATCAATTTCATCTGTTCCATCAAAGCAATCCAAAAGTAAATTACACCGTTTTTGGAAAGGTATACACTGTTTATTTCTGCACTGGAACTCATATCGACCACATTGTCTGTAATCTGTCATGTATGGATAGAAAAATAATAAAAATAGCATACAAATTATGTGAGATGCGAACTACGCAAATTACAAGACTATAACAATTTTTAATTGAAAAAATATAAGGTAAATAAAAATCGACTATAAAATTACAGAAAGAAACCATCAGCAACATGTAAAAAATATAGATACACGTTATAATACAGATAGAAACCATAAAATAACACATCAAAACATGAAAAAGGCATAAAAATACTATAAAAAAAAGGGGAAATGCACATTACTAAAAATAGGAAACATAAATATACAACGTCTGAATAAACTTTGAGTATTGCTGCCCCTTGGAAAACGGCATTAATGTTAACTTTACATTAAGCTCTAATGTTTCTTCGAGATATCATAGCTAAAGTTCAAACAACCGATACTCAAACTGAAAGGCAATGAAGATCGATTAATCTACTTTTAAAATAAATTTTGTTTATTAAGTAGTCATTGTCGCTTAAAATGCCAAAACGAAAAAAATTGAGTGTTCAAAATAAGACCACATCTTACCACATCTGCTTTCATCAGAGTTGTCCCCACAATCATCTTCATAATCACAATATCCATCTACTATGATATAATTTCCATTATCGCACTGAAAGCTGCAACGAGGACAGGATTCAAGGGCTACAACAATAGACACCATTTAAATAAAACATGTATTTTTGAGATTGAAAAGAATAGTTTAATTAAATAAGTACTCTGTTGTAACTAATGTTGTTGTGTGACATCGAGTCACAGGCTTTAACTTAAAATCCTGATCCAATTCGTACATCGCCCCTTAAACCTTAGTGCAATTGGAACAGTTTCCCCCGGACATTCCATTCTTTCCCCTTTTTTTTGGAAGGACAGCTGATCGGTTTTCTTTGATCTCGCACGTGAAAGGTGCGATTGCTCGAGTCTTCATAACCATGATCGAGAGCTAGTTTTTAAAACACTTTTACTTCCATTTCAGAAAGGGAGAATGACACTGTGAAAAATAGGAAGTAACACTTCTACTCACACGAAGGGTATAAATATCATGAGCGCATAACGCTCATTTGCATTCGAGATCAATGTTACATGTTGGCTCCTTGGCGAATTTTAGTAACACAATTCGCGTCAATCCTTTCCCTCACTCATTTGTTCGTCATTGGATTCAATCGATTCTAAGAATAGTCCAGGTATAAAACTTAAAACAATCCATTCTGATGTCGTCACGAAACGCTTCTTGAAGTTTTTCCCGACCCAACTGCCTACAGCGCCCTCTAGCAACACTTAACGGAAACGGTTAGTTGTTTTAGTGGATGTGAATAGTTGACAATCTACAGTATATTATGTTGTGTCTGTGTCATATTTTTATTTACTTCCGCACGATAATATTTGTGTCAAAGCGTTTTAAAATAAATCAAAAAACCAAAAAATTACAAAGAATTTTATTAACTTCAATCAAAATAATAGTAAAAACGATAAATTCATAGATCCATCAATCTAACTTGTAGTTAAGCGTTCTGCCGTAGCGTGGCGCTAAAACCGTTTGGACCAGACTGTTGCCATTTTTGCAAGCTGTCGTCTTTTTATATGACTTCTAGAGTAGAAATTCTGTATACATTTCTTAGTGATTAAATCCATGGAATAAGGAAATGATGTTCATTTTTATCAAATTTTACGTTTATTTTGGGAATCGCTCATGAGATCGTCAATAAGTGTTTTCTTTTTATGAAATTTAGACACAGTTAACGTTGTTTTTCGAAGCTCTGTCACCAAGGAAAGTAAAAAAGCCATAGCTTACGTGTCTTACACTTAAAGCAATGCGATGATTCTATATAATCTTGCCGTGAAGAAGAAAATTAAAAGTTTTTAAACTTCTTCTAGAAATCGCCAAATTGGCCTAGAGGAATATTATCAAAATCACTGCCGTATTCTCAGTTTTGGAAAATTTTTATGAGCCCAGATATCATTAGAGTAAGTTTTTAAGTATTAAAGTATTAGACCACAAACACTTTTCATCTTCACAAAAGTATTGCTTTTCCCCTTATTGATGTTTAGCGCCATTTTCAAAATTAACTTAGACAGCGCTGGCTTTAGATGAGCTAAACTTGACCTAACTGTCATGAGTAACAGATGCAAACTCACAGCAGTTATAAGAATAGCATATTTTTCGCGAAAAAGCATCATTTCATATTACGACGGAGCCTTTGAAAAACAGTTTTAAGGCGTTTTTAATTCAAATGTCCAGGCAAAGAATCATTCAGCATTTCGTTAGAAGTCGGGTCTGGTTTCTTCGAACTTATAAGTACAGCTTTGTTAAAAAATATCTGCTTTTTGTGAATATTAAATTTAAAACATCTTAACTGTGTTGAAAAGAAAACATTTAACTGCGATATCATAACTTTCATCAGTAGTTAAACATTTTAGAAAATATACCTAAAGCATAAAATTTTTTTCTAAAACAATTATGACATGCTTACTGCAATTATACTCATCACTACCGTCCTTGCAATCTTCAACAAAGTCACAGACAGAAAGAATTGTGATTATTTCGCCATTCTGGCACTGAAAATATTTTTGACTGGACATATTTACTGGGACAATTTCATGCGTATTGATTTCAGAAAACAGCGAAGGAATATTCCTGGTAGCATCTAAAATAATATATAAAATAGAAAATTTTGATTAGTAAACAAAGCGTTGCGTAAAATATATCTATCTTAAAAAATGACACTACCTTTTTTATTACAAAACTCATTATCTTCATTACAAATAAAAACTAAACAATTTTTTTAAGAAAATCAAGCAACAGGGCTAGCGGAAACGCTCGCATTTCTACGGATTTAAATTTCTCAACATAGAAAATTATTTAAGATATGTGTTCAAAGTAACATACAAACTATAATTACTAATTATTTATAATTATTATAAACTGGATCGAGAACAGGAACTGGAACTGGATCGAGAACCTATATAATTATACAGTAAAAATTATGTTTATATAAATTACAAATATAGCTTTTACTACTTAAACTATGATTTATAGTGAAAATTGAATTCAACTATTAGTTTTTAATTGATTTTATTAATTATTAAATTTTATAATAATTATTAAATTTCATGTTAGTTATTAATTTTTATAATTATTATTATAATTTGATTTATAATTATTATTATAAAATGTTTAATAATTTTCAGCTATTTTTTTACTTATTATTTATTTATCCCGAATCATTAATTCATTTTTACATGAATTCATTTATATTAAATATCACTTATTATTTTTGTAAAATTGAAGCATGTCATTGATAAATTGCACAATTTTGCAGGATTCCTACTCAAAAATCGATCAAATTAAATAGCTATATTGTCATTTCATTTTATTTTATAACCGTCGTTGAACAACCGATACAATTTTGAGTTTACGATTACTAATATTCAACTCCGTTGTCTTGTAATTTTGAACCCTATCCAGAACACAAGAGAACTCCTGGATCAAGTATTGGGAGAACTTTTTGATGGAATTAACCCGCATTTGCGTTGCATGAAGCGGAAAATCTCCCACGGCAAGCTTGACGGCAGGAGCTATTAACCCATGATTCATCCACCGCTGAGTAGGGGAGAGTGGGGTCAATTGTAACATTTTTTACTTAACTATTTATAACTAGCAAAAAATCCAATATATTATTAGTATTAATTGACAGACGAGTAAAGTAGACTATCCTCTACTAGAAAAAAAATAAATACCTGATTTTAAATATTATTATATTAGTTATTAACAATTTTTGACAGTCGTGCACTTGTTACAATTGTCCCCACTTACGGGGTCAATTGTAACAGTTCATAAATTCAACTAAAACATAGTTAATTATACATATTATCATAGTTGTGATATATTTTTTTATTGATCAAAATAGTAGTGATATTTTAGGAGTAAAAATAATAATGAGCAGAGACCTAAAGGGTTAAACTTTTAACTTTAAGGGGTTAAAAATTTTAATTTATGCTGTGAAAGGTGACAAATAAAATAATGCACATGCAACATAATATAAATGATATAGGAAACTATTGGTGGTTCTTAAAGAGTTAAGTAATGGTTTGTAAACATAAGATTATTTATTTTCAGCTGTTACAATCGTCCCTTTACTTATTGTTACAATTGTCCCCAAGACGCCATTTCAGCTTCATTTGTTAAAAACAATGCTAGTTAATTAGCAAAACTAATTTTTTTTTTATTGAAATGTTAATTAAGGTGTCCACTTACATATTCGGTTAATAATTTTTATTTGTTTAAACAAAATTACTTTGTTACAATATAATATTCTAATACCAAAAAAAGTACTTACGCAGCGTAAAAATATCTTTTGTGATGTAACTCTTCCAAAAGTACATAAAAATGGTTGCCAGCAGGGGTGTACATGTAGATTTATTAAATACATCTTGTGTGCCACCTAGGAACCAAATCTAGAACCCGACACTCGAAATTTTTGCTCTGTTACAATCGTACCCTGTTTCAATTGACCCCACTCTCCCCTATATTTTACGCCAACACTGTGGTCAGGGCGAGGGCGAGCGCTAGACGGAATTCTCCTCGACCAGTCATCACTGGAATTCGACCCCGACCCACGTCATTGGAAAGCGGACTCTCTATTCCCTGAGCCACCTCTGCATCGCTATATTGTCATTGGTGAAGTTTTTAGACAGAAGCATTGGGTTTATTAATATAATTATCTTGAGCCTGTGACAATACAGCGGTAAGTCATACCTCTTTTCTAGTTTTTAGAGATAGATACTTTATAGGTCCCCAATAAAACCACGATACAGAGTCATACATGAGAATCGAGGTGTTTTTAACAAAAACTCTCATAAACAAACGCATTTCTAAACGATTTTAAAAGCGTTGCTTATTATTATACATAATCAAGAAAATCATATATTCAAATATTAAGCGAAAGAAATATATAGATGTTTCCATAACATACCTTTAGAACCCTGGTCTAAAAAGAATTTAAAAAATACCCACATTAAAAATAGAATATTAAAACAAAAAGGCTATGGGAGAAAAGCCATCAAATAACTAAAAAAAAAGCGCTATCGATATCTAATAAGTCTTTCTTTGGGGGTCGGAAGTCAAAACCTACTTGATTGTCGGGGAAAACAGAGAATTGGAAGGTTCTGAATCTCAGTTCAAATGATGCTCTGCTAAATCTGCTCCCCCTGTAAGTTATTTTTCTGCTACAGCACGTACCGCACAGAGCAGTACTCCGCGTTAGTTCACGATGCGCCTTAACCAAAGTTAAATAAAATGCTCTTTCACCGAGAAAATTAGAAAAGATTCTGAATTTACAATGTTCTTAGATAATAAAAATCGAAAAATTAAAATAATCTCTGGAGAGATTTTTAAAAAAATCCACTTTGAACATTTTTTCTCACGAAGTATGATATTTCAAAAATGTTAGCATCATTTTATACTTATAAATAGAAAGAAAAATAATATATTTGTATTTAATATTCATAATAACCTTTTATAATAAATTTTGTAATTATTAGAAGTTTTTTAATTGTTAATTATAGTCGATGAATCACTATTTAAAAAAACAAAAATAATGAAAACTTAAATCGACTTTAGCGACACAAGCACTGTGACTTTAAAAATGGCAGCTTCCATTCGTGTGTACACGAAGTAGAAAAGCAATTGAACCAGGATAAAAAGCAAAACTTAATATCACAGCTCATTCTGTCGATGATTATTTTGATTTTAAGGAATTTCCTTTCGTTTGTATAAAAGGCGATGAAGACTCGGATGCTCCTGCGCTTGGAGTTAACTGCAAAGATGTTCCTGCTTTTGTTCATTATGTGAAAAATAAACGAGATGTGCTGGATGTTCACTTAAAAATGGGCATTGACGGTGGAGGTGGATTTTTAAAACTACATCTTTCTGTACAATCAAATGAGTTAGACTTCGAGTGCAGCGGTAAGCGTGCTAAGTATGATGAGGGGATAGCTGCAAGAAAATTTAAGGATTCTGGAGTTAAACGACTATTCATTCTAGTAGCAGTTCCGAGTGCACAAGAAAATATAAGAATGTAGATCAACTCACGTTGAATATAAGTCCTTTCCACAGCAAAATTGCAACCGATTTGAAGTTAGCGAATATCTTAGCAGGTATAATGTCGCAGAGCAGCGCATACCCATGCACTTATTGTTATGCCAAGAAAGATGAGCTAAGCAGCTGTGGTGAATTGAGATCCCCCGAAAATGTTTCATCGTATTATACAAGTTGGCTGACTGAAGGAAAAGGTTCAAAAATCAAAGCGAAAGATTATTTCAATTACATTCATCCACCGCTATTGCAACTGTTGGAGGCAAAACATTTCTAGACATTATTCCACCTCCAGAATTACACCTTATGCTTGGTGTTGTTAACACTGTTTTCACGCATATGTTGAAAGAGTGGGAGAAAGAATCGCTGACATGGACAAAAGCTTGTCACGTTCAGCGTGAAATCAGACAAGGATGTTCTGGGTTTAAGGGAAATGCATGCAAAACACTTTTGGATAAGAAGAACTTCTGCGCCAGTTTAAAAATTTAGAAATACTGAAGTATGTTAAAGTATTTGACGACATCAAAAAAGTGGTTTCTGCATGCTTCGGAAATAGGCTTGACCAAAATTACAAAGCATGTATAGAAGCTTTCAAAGAGAGCTACATGGACTTTGGTGTCAGCCAAAGGTTCATGCAGTTTTTCTGTTCTGTGACAGTTCTGTGACAAAAACGGTGAAGGATTAGCATTTTTTCGGGAGCAGGCGATGGAGTCCGTACATTTTGATTTCTTAAAGTCTTCCTGGGAAATGAATAAGGTTGCTGCAAATCACCCGGATTATCCTAAACACCTTTCGATTTAGATATAATGCTTCATATGTTTAAATTGATGTAATTATGATTAAATTATGTTACATTTTCATATTTTATCAGCAGTAAAGTGTTTAAATAATAAAAGTTTAATAGAATTACAACTGAAAAATCATTATTAATCATTTTTTCCTTTCTATTGATATAAAAGAACGCTAGATTTTCCAAAATATCATACTTTAAGAGCAAAAATGTTCAAAGTGGATTTTTTTAAAAATCTTTCCACAGATTATTTTGATCTTTTGATTTTTACTATCTGTTAGCATTGTAAATTCAGAATCTCTTCTGATGTTCTAGGTGTAAGAGCATTTTATCTAACTTTGGTTAAGGCGCACCGTGAGTTACGTATTCGAAGAGCTGAACTTCTCTTTTTTATGCTCTTTTTTGGTTTTAAAGTAGTTTCCTTCCACTCTCCTCATTAGTGGTTGCAAGCAGAATTTTACGACGTACGTGTTTAACCTTCTCTTATATTCATAATGTTTTTAAAAAAAAGCAAGTTCTTACTTATGGGTACTTTGCTTTTCATTTTACAAATATAGCTGTTCAGGGAAGCATTCACACCAATTTTGAATCCTCCAAAATCAATTCCATCTTTTTCATAAAAAGTTAACTTTCCCAAAGAACATGGGATGTCATGCCAGTGGGCAGTCGAATGTCCACTATCCACTCTCAACATTGTGCAATCTTGGTAAGTTCCACCATCTGGTTGATTCGTGAAGGATCGACTGCTCATCGCCCTACAATAAAACGACAAATTATCCAAATTTTCCTTTTATTCATTTAGAAAGCAGCTTTTATATTAAAAAAGACATAAATTTAAAGCTAAGTTATTAAGCTTTACTTAATATAAATAAAGCTTTAATTAATATAATATAAAGTTTAAATTATACGAATTGTAGTAAATTATGATCCGAAATTACTCTTCATTCATTTGCGATAAAACAGCTTTTGTCTTGAAATATGACTTGAACTTGAAATCTTTATGACTTGTGAATGAGTTTACTCCTAAAAAGAATAATCCCAAGAAACTTAAGCGATTATGTTGTATATGTATATAAGTTTAGTTAAGTAGTATAGTGTATAATGTAGAGGTTGGCATTAGGTATATTGATTTAAAATTAATTGCACACATTGTGAAAATAATAAACTTTAATAATAAGAAAATTAACAAATTTAAAAATAGTTTTAAAAATGGCTATAGTGTGTCTACCACTACAAAAATACAATTCCAATTCACTAGTATATAAGACATGATTACTCGATCCTATGTTGGGGTACCTTTTCATAGATGACAGTCGAATTCTACTCTCCTAACATTGGTGACCTCCAAACGTGTTGTGAACCCGCCTACCTTGAGAGAAACTACCACTTCGACTTGAATACGTCTACTTCGATTGAATGTCCACATTGACAAATTTGACTTGCTACTTCTGATTGTGACATCATCCACCTAATCGCGCTGTTGTTACTCAATTTTGATCACACATAACGTACAACGTATACACTAGACTCCTAACGGTAACACAGGAGTGACCGCGAACTTATTACAGCTCTCGTGATCAGCACTCTAAAGTATGGTGATCTTAATACGGATCTCTCAGCTTTTCTTAAAACAGCAATGAATCAACTATTGGTATCCATTCATCGAATTCTATCACAGCTATAATTGGGTGGGATAGTACTGTAGTGTGTCAACCACTACGAAAATACATTTCCAATTCACTAATATATAAGACATGTTAACTCGATTCTATGATGGAGTACCTTTTCATAAATGAGGGTTAACATGGTCAGATTATACTCTCCCCACATCACTGCTCCGTCCTGAACACTAAAACAATTCTGCGGTCAGAGGTGGTGGCTCTGTTGTTATGCGTGGATGTGTATATTTATAATATTTTATATTATGATAGTATAATATTTTTAACGAAAAACATACCAGTCAGCATATATCATTGGATTACCATCACTCCATCTATAAACACCTTCTCTTGCATCGTCATTAAGTCCTACATAATGAATATATTTTTATTATTATATAATTATTTAAGGATATAATCTTAAAGGGGCCATTTTAATACGTAGGTCATATTATGAACTTGGGTAATTTTTATATATATTACGAAATTTATTTGAAACATAAATGTTATTTTCATTCATTTTTCTATACATTTTTTAAACTCACTTTTAAAAAGTCAAAATTTCGAAAAGATATGCTCCGTATCCGACCTCTAAATTTTCAAACAGTATAAGTTATAGTTATCAAAGTACAGTTATAGTTATCAAAGTACAGGCATGTATAGTAAAGTGCTATGCTCTGCAAGAAAGGTCCATGCACTCCACTACCTATGAGCTCTACTTACAATGCTACCTGATAGAAAAATAGGGAGTCAGCTTTCCTTTCTCGAAAACGGTAAGAGATAAATGAAATGTGAAGTGCGAAGTTGTGGAACCGTATGGCTTTTTTTCGAAGGCTCCATCGGAATATGAAATTATGCTTCTTTGTGAATAGTACGCTGCTTTTATAACTGCTGTGAGTTTTCAAATGTTACTCATGGACTGTTAGGTTAAGTTTAGCCTATCTAAAACCAGCGATGTCTACGCTCATTTTGAAAATGGCGCAAAACCTCATTAAATGGAAAAGTCACAGTTTTGTGAAAATGAAGAGCGTTTGTGGTCTAACTTCTTAATATTTAAAAACCTACTCCAATGCGGCTTTACTTGGGCACATGAAAATTTGAAAAACTATGAATACTGCAGTGATTTTGGTAATTTTCATCTAGGTGGAAAAAAATGTCTCCAAATGGGTGATTCTTAAAAAAGTTTAATTACTTTTAAAATACTTAAAATACTTGACTGTTCTAAAGCCGAGATAATTTTTCGCTGCAAGATTATTTAGACAGTTTAAAATCATCGCATAGCTTTAATTGTAAGGCTACATTAGAATTTCAACTGACGGTTTTAATCTCCTTGTGATTTGGGCAAAGAAAAACTCCGTTGTTAATAAAATGGTTTTATACCGTTAAATTATATTTTCGTAAAAATAAGCGGTATTTTTTACAGTGTAATTAAATGTATAAATTTTGGTATAAGATGACTGAGGGATCCTTGGGATCGAGGATCGAAGCGAACAAGAATAGAATTTCTAGTAATGCAAAAAAAAATTATAAAACCTTAAGTAATTTCCATGAGTATATTTGAATAGCTTTTAAGTTACCTATGTAGAGTGCCTTATGCTTTGCATGCCATACATTAGTAAGGAAGTAATGAATGATAGCATTCTCTTTCTCGTCCAAAATGCTCACTAAATGGCTACTCGCATCATAACTTTGACATTTTCTCTCTGCTTCGTACCACTGTATCGGCACGCTTCCATGATACGCATTGTAGCAATATCCGTTGTGATATTCCCATCCGGGGAGACAGTAGTCTTCATCTTTAAAAATAAAAAAATAATTGAAATCTGTTCAAATTTAGTTTAATATATTTATGAAATTCAGAAATAAGGATACACATTTACCTTATTTTCTAACAATAATGTGTTTAAGTTTGAATGAATTTGTTATTTCACAGTGTGTCAAAAAGTAAAACTTAATGTTAATCTATTACAGATATTAGAGTATTTAAATTGTTTTAAACGAGAAATAGGATTGAATTGTTGAAAGAAAAATGGAAAATTAATTTCTTAGAATATCGAACAATCTCAAATTTTTGATGAAGAGAGTATTAAAAAATAAACCCTTATAAGGTGCTTTTGTGATTGTTTTGGAGTGTTAAGGTTAATTTGATGTTGATTTGAAGTTGACTTGATTTGAGTTGTTGAGGTTGATTGACTTCAAAAACAACTTTAATAAATAAACCTTCCAAGACTTTTAATTAAGATATGTGAAGTAGTTTTATTTTTACCTGAGGTTGCTTTGAGGTTGATATAAATTTACCTTTGAGCAACCAGTTTAAAAGAGGTTTGTTTTTGAGGAGTACATGCAATGTTTCTACACTTCAAGCGAATAAATATATTTGAGGTGCGAATAATTTCGCCAGATTTCAACTATAAGTATTGCTGAGCTATATATGTGTAAATTAAATTGAAGTTGATGTTTAAAGATGATGTTATTTCTTATACAAATCATAGTCTAATTTTCTACCTCAGGTGTATATTTTACACCTGTAAACCGAAAAATAAACTCAAAAACACTTTATTTCTGCCATGGAAGACAAATGGAAAAAATTTAAAAATATTGTATTAATGCATTTTCTGTATATTTTCGTCCTTAAAAGAGAAGAGTACTCTAACTAAAAGAAATTAATCTTAAATTGTTGAAAACAGGTACTGAAATTAATTTGTCATAAAATTATGTTGAGTAAATTGGTGCGAAAGAGAAAAAATAAAGTTAATTTGTTGAAAAATTTAACCATTCGGAAAAAATCAGCCAAAAAATGATAAGGAAAATATATTGCATTAATAAATAGTTTTAAAACGACGCATGACAACAAATTTATTTTTAAAAAACATTTTCTTCTTTTAAAATGTCTACTGTAGTGCTAATTACTCTTTAGTTCCTTTCTTCACTTTCTTCCTTTTAAAAATGAGTCAATAAATTAAATGTTCCTTCAATTTGATGCATTTTGTTTATTTTTAATCAAAAATCTGGAACAAGAAGTGTATCAAACAATGCAAAAAAAAGATAGAAAAACGAGTTAAACGTAAAACTTTAATTGTAACGTCAAATAATAACATAAGAAACTATTAAATTATAATTTTAATTTCAGGCACGTTTCTTAAGTTAAATGTAAGAAGTTATTAGGTAGTGTGCGCACTTCTAGAATAAAAAGTGCAACACTGAAACATCCATGCATTTATTTATTTTTTTTCTTTTGCAATAATAAAACTTACGGCGAGTTAAAAAACATTCTTTTGAATAATTAACCGTTTCTTAAATTAGTAGTACTCAGTGATATTTTATTTAATTCATTTAAATTAGCTTTAGCATTTATACGTTGAGAATGGAAAACAAATGTAACTTGACCTCAAGCTTTTAATTCACAAAATCTATAAATCTCCTTCACTCAGTTAAACTCTAAGGACTGCGTTGTCGCTAAGTATACTTTGAACTAAGTATACTAAGTATATTGTCAGTTTACTTTTATCCACTGAGATTTTAAAAGCTTAATGATATTGCAACTAATGATATCGAGATAAAATACAATCTTTTCAGCCGAAATCTTTCTTCTTTTTTTTTCAAGAATATCACTTAAGGATTTCATTTGAGACTTCCAGAATTTCTTTACTCGGCAAAATATATAATATTCTTGTATAATTAAAAGGGGCTAAAATGCAATTTTTCCTGAGTAATTTCATTTTTTTTCAAAAGTTTCACTTATAGCATTCATCAGAATTCCGAAATTAACTATACAAATAATAAATTATAGTTGTATAATTAATAAAGACTAAAATACAATTAATTTTTCCTGGGAAATCTCAATTTTTTTCTAAAGTATCACTTCAAAAACTCATTTACGTGAGAATTCCAAAATTTAAGAATTCGGTAAAATAATTGAAAGATGGAAAAGTAAAACTTATCCTGAGAATTCTCAATTTTTTTTTTCGGAACTATCACTTAGAACAATCATCCACTGGGAATTCCGAAATGTATTGATTCGGCAAAATAATGTACTGTAGTATAATGAAAAGAGACTAAAATACTATTTCCATGATAAATCTCAATTTATTTTTCTGCATTACTTAGAACATTCATCCAGTAAGCCTGCAAATGTAAAATGATATCAAACTTGACGTTATATTTATATGAGCAACAACAAAATAAGCATAAGACATCATATCCATTTTAATCTTCATCTACTCAAATTTTATTCCTTACGAAAACGTACTGAATAACATTAAAATATTGCTAGATAGAATGTAAAATAAAGTAATATTTTACCTTTCTTTGTATCATTTGCAATGTCGGTAGGAATTTCATAATTCATGGAAGCGTAAGTCAGAGAAAATCCTCTTCCAGTTTCATCCGCATCTGAGGAAAATTCAATGGTCAAAGTGTTCCAATTGGAAACTATCTCAAGGGGTGGTTTCTTAGTGTTACAAAACCGTCCAATTAGATTAGATTTTTCATTGGAATCCCCATTGTATACAGCCAAATAATCAAACTGACAATTCTCTCCTCCTTTTATATCAAAATCTTGAAAAGTAAGGGAAATGAAGTGCGAGGAATTGGTTCTGGAGGAAAGGGAGATACTGTATCAGCCTTACGAAGAACAAGTTGATATAATATAATATCTTTATGAAATTTTAATGTACTCAGTAATATGTTTATATTTGCAATGATGAGTAATTACTGCTACAACTTATTAGGTTATTATCTGAATATGCATAGTTATTCTAATAAATTTTATAAAAATAAAGCAAAAAGATTTAAAAACTACGTTTTACAAGTGGTCTTCAAGAGAGAAATTAATTTTATATTTGCTAGGCGCGAAACAAGAAACTTTAGGTTCATCACGATCGAATCAGTGTAGCTAGAAATTAATAACGAATTAAAATATTTTCTATTTTTTAGTCCAATTTGAAACGCAGTTTTTGAAACTTTTTATTTGTTTTTTTATTACTTTATTCTTTTTAGTTTTGGATCTGCTGGTTTGTTTACATCAGAAGTTTTGATTGGCAGAGATAAAATGGAATTTATGGAACTATTACTAATCGATATTCAGAAAACAATTATAACTTGTAGTATTGTCAACTGACACAAAACTCCACTTAAAATTTAGGCACTCTAGCTAGAAGGGAAGTGGTTGAAATTTCGATCGACGACAAATCGTATTTGGATATAAGTTCTCCTTTTAGCTCTCAGGAAATAGATGAAACTTGTTTTGCGCCGTACAATGCCCAAAAAAACCGAAAGCCCTAAATAATGTTTTGTCCAGTGATCGGATTTACACGTTGTTGGACTCTATGGGTTTAAGGGAGTGACCATGAAAAGGTTAATTAATTAGCGTAAACAATAATTTGAGTTACGTGATCAGCCAGAAAAGGATATTTTCCCGAAATAAACATTGGATTCGCTTAAAAAGTCCTCGATTTATAGCAAAATACGGAAAAAGTAAAATTAACATTAAGGGGTCTAAACTTTCGATTGCTCTCCTGACCAAAATATAGGGACCATATATCCTAAATTGTGGTACTTCCCTTGTTTTAAGAATAAGAAATCCTAATTCTCCAGTAAAGGAAATGTGTTTATCTAAAGAAATTACGTTTTGGTCTCTGACATTAAAATCGGTCTAAACTAATCGGTTAGCAGCATAATTTAGATCAGCGGTTTCCGAATGGGGTTCAGCGGAATTCTATGGTTTCGTGGAAAAGTCAACGGTTTTCCGCGAGTTCGTACTTTTTACAACCGGTGATGAGTTTTGAAACCTCAGATAAAATAATTATATATAGATACAAAGTATATTTTATATGCATTTATAAAATTACTTCAAGCAAAATGCCAGTGAAAAATAAAAGGCATTTTTAATAGAAAATATAATATTTCTCATAATAATGCGTTGAATAAATTATGAAAAGAACAAGCATTTATAAAATATTGCAATAATTTTTCCTTTCACGCTTTTCAAATCAAAATAAAATTAAATTCGTTAATAAAATTTCCTTAATAACCAATTTCGACGTTCATAGCAGTTTTTTTAAGTTTTCATCTCGAAGTAAACCATAAATTGGCTTATTTTATTCATTTTCAACTTATGTATTTGCACCAAAAACAAATTCACTACTATACTAGATATAGCACAAGGACGGAAAATTTGACAGTCGGACGTAAACCCCAATTTAAGATTATTGCAGATAAAACTATGAAAAATATTCATTCCCCTGATTAAATATTTTAAAAACAGTCTTTTATAGGGTATAACGTTCAGTAATACCTTAATAAACTTTATCCATAAAGTAGGGGTTCCGCTTAAAGAGGGTGAATTATTTTGGGTTCCGTAGCCGAACCAAATTGAGAACCGCTGATTAAGATCCCTCCCATGAACCATTAAGATCGAGTCTTAGTATGTAAAAATCTGAAGACTAGATCAGAAGTTATTTAGGGTGGTTCTTTATTTTTCCACTCGTTGTATATTGAAGAACTCCAATTAAAATTTGAACTATCGAGCAGCTCGCGAAGTTTTCAGAATTTTTATTAACCATAAATTTTCTAAAAAGAAAATATCGTTAAGAAAATATCGATTGAATTTGAATTTGATCGTTCCAATAGATATATAAGTTTTTCTAGCTAGTAGTAAAGTAATAAAAATTCCAATTGTAAGATTCCACCGTTACAAACCCGAAAGACAGTTAATAAAAAAGTAATCCGTATTTGAAGGTCTATTGGGAGATAAAGACAAACCGAAAAAAAAATCGATTTCATGACATACTCTGAAAATGGGGGAAATTAGTTGTTGTTTTTTTCTCTTTAATTTTAAAAAATTAGTAAGTCTAATGTTTTTTTAAGCATCATTTTTAAGATTTAAAAAAATTATAATATTTATAATTTTTTTTTTGCAAATTCCTGATTAATCACTAGTAGAGAAGAGTTTGATAAATTTTAACAGCAGCAGCATGATAAGATTACGAATATTTTTACATTTTAAAAATTAAACAAAATAATATAAATCTATTTCTAAGAAATTGTAGGTTAACATATAATTTATGAAAAAAAAATTCCATTACGTAGTTAATTATAATAATAAGTATTCTTAAATATTCAGTTTCAGTTAATAATTTTTCTTACATTTATTGATACGAACCTATATTATCGCATTAAAATATTTTCATAAATTATGTTTTTATATTTACCGTATTAACCACCCACATCTATGATTATTTGGGTAGTTGAGCGGATATCCATATGATAATATTTTTCCACATGGTGACTCACACACATGTCCGTCAGAACACTGAACACTTCCGATTCCACATCCTGGGCAATCTGAGAACACATTGAGAAAACACTATGTTTAAGAGAAAACGTATTTTGACACATTTTCTACCATATGCAACATGTATATAATTTACTCAACGCTTCTATGATTATTATACGCTTCTAAGCCGTATATAATTATTATCCCTAATAATTGTTAACCCGATAAAATTTAAGTTTAGCTGAAATTTTAAGCATGACTTGCTTTATTGGGATCGTATTTATTGCAACGAATTATTATCCCATGAGATTTCGAGCTCAGCAGAAACTCAGTCACTATGAGTTGTTTTATAGGTGTCGTATAAATCGAAATTTATTATAATCCTGAAAAAACTCGAGCTTGGCAGAAATTATCAGCATTACTTCTTATATCGGTGCCGCATAAATTGTAATTAATTATGATTTCGAGAAAAATTGAGCTTAGAAGAATTTAGGAGTATAGCTTATTACATCACAGTCGCATATACTGATATTAATTATCATCGAAAGAAAATTCAAGCTTAGAAATTGTCAATGCTTGTTTATTGATACGTTATTTATTCCAATTAATTATTATCCTGAGAAAACTTGAGCTAAGTAGAAATTGACAGAATAACTTGTTTTATCGGTGTCGTATATATTACAATTAATTAAAATTTCGAGAAAACTCGAGCTTAGCTAAAATTGCCAGCATTACTTTGCTTATCGGTGCCGTATAAATTGTAATTAATTGTTATTTCGAGAACAATCGAGCTTAGAAGTTGGAAGTATAATTTATTATATCTGAGTCGTATATGCTGCAATAAATTATTATCGAAAGAAAATTAGAGCTCATAAATTGTCAATGCTTGTTTATTGATGTGGTCTTTATTGCAATTAATTATTATTCCGAAAAAATCGAGATAGCAGAAATTGTTAGTATAACTTGTTTTATCGGTGCCGTAGATACTCCAATTAACAATCATCTCGAGTAAACGCTAGCTTACCAGAAATCGCCAATATGACTTGTTTCGCCTGAGTCGGATATAATACTTGTGGGCAATTTTTTATACAAAAAATACATTCATTTTTTTTATTGGTGATACACAGCGTCACGAAAAATTTAGAAAGAGTACACAAAAGTCATAAGTTTGGGAAACACTGCCGTAGATGATACATTTTAAATAAAATATTGCAGTTTAGCTCTATGTTGTTTAAAGAATATTAATTGCTGAAAAAGAAATTTTTAAGAATGTTAATACATATTCATCTATCACATTTCCCATCACATTTCATATCATTTATCATATTGAAACATTTTCAAAATTTAAACATACCAACTGATTTATAATGAGCATAAAATCCTCGAAATCTACTTCTAGAATATCTGAAGCAACTTTTCATTCGTATCTTCAAGGTACCATTCGAAATAATCCTTTTCGGAAAATGTTTTCCTTGAGGAAAGCTAATGCTATTATTGCTGAATTTTTTGGGATATACAATAAGCTCATCTTTGCACTTTCCAGCCTTAGATTCATCCTCTTGGTCAGCCATGTCGTAAATTAAGAAATTCATCTCAATATGCTTTTTTGATTCAGGTGTTATTACCCATTCACAAGACTTATCTTGCCCGTAATAAAGTGGGTAATTTGGTGAATAAACAGTTCCTTCTGTTGCTTTTACGGAATATTCACAGGGCTCTACAAATGTATATTAAAAAAACTTTCATAAATCATTAAAATACATCATATAAAAAAATCATAAATCATATAAAATATTTAAAAAATCATATAAAATACATCATATAAAAAAACATACAGTTTTTTTACAGTACATTGTTATATTCTATCGGAAAAATACCATAATTACTGATATGGAAATAGTAATAACACATTGTAAAAAATTAGTACTCAAATTTCACGAAACTTTTTTCGTCTCTGACGAAAGCATTTCCTGGTATGTGCTCCGAGTGAACATTTTGCCAAAATAACAGAATAAATATCGCCACTTTTTCGAGGAAATGAATTTCGTCAAAAATAAAGAGATATTTCGTCACTCCTCTCAATTTTTCAACAAAAAAAAAAAAGCAGGAGGCATTTGTAATGCTATATCATATCTAAAGGACGGCATTGTTTTTCACTTTTTCCTCAGCAGATAGAGCAGAAAAATAAATCACATCCATGCCCGAAGCTGGATTCGAACCAGGGATCTTCCTGCTATGAGGCCAACCTCTCGACCACCATGATGGCCTTTATGGACATCGGGCTGACATTGTCATTCTAGTTTCAAACATCTAGTTTTCATTCTATTTTCGTAATTTTATTTAAATATCTCCCACTATTCACTGCGATGAGGTTACGAGTTGAGAAAACATATTTGTCATATATTTAAGAGTTAACGTTTCGTCACGAATGCGATTTCGACATGAAATGGTTCTCAAAATTAATGAAATACAGCTCAAGAATTGATGAATTTTATTTCTGAGATCGCAGGAAAAACAATTAATAAATAAGACCATACACAGCACTTTTTAACGTAAAACACGAAAATACATGGTAGAACTTCTATTTTATTACAAGTAACTAAATTTCAAGCATAAATGTGCTTTAATTGCGTGCTTAAAAATATGCTTTCTGTATATTTAGTTGAAGAAATCCTCTCGCCACATCGTGTAAAGCTCTCTGCCAGAAGCACCTGTTAAATAGGGGAACTTCTGATATTCGTCTCATCGACTAAAGTTTAATCCACTGACGTAAAATATCCTTAGTGGTAGGCGGATCATGGGTTAGAGCCCTCTTGCCGACAGGCTAACCTTGGGAAGTTTTCGTGGTTTTCCTCGTCATGTAACGCAAATTCTTGTAGGTTCCATCAAAAAGTCCTCTATGAAAGCAAAAGTTCTCTTAATATTTGATCCAAGTTTCCTTGTCTTCTGAGTTGGGTTCAGAATTACGAAGCTACGGAGTTGAACATAAGTAGGCGTAAACTCAAATTTGGGTCGGTTGTTCAACGATGATTATAAAATATAAAATGAAATAGTCAATCACAATGCTCTAGCCAACTATTAAGGGAATTTCCTTAATTTGACATACAGAGCTTTGCTTAAGCGTTTATTTCACTATTTTCGAAATATAGTTCTTTTATTTGCAATAATATAACTTAAGGTAAATAAGCACAATTATTTGTAACTAAGAAAAGGAAATAAATCGTCATTTTTCCTACCTCCTTTCCTTCTAATTTGATTTTTTTAAAAATTCGTTTATTTAATATCTAGTTAGAAATCATTCCATTTTTAAGCCGTCAAAACAATACGATATTTATCTTTTTCCTCGTAAGTTTGAAATTATACTTATCTCTAAGTGGAGTCAAATGTGAATGATCCGAATTATTAAAGCTCTTTCGCTTTAAATGCGGTTCTTTTCACAAATACGCTATAAAAAATAAACAAAATATTACTCTAGAAGAAAAAAAGTTACAATATTGTTGTTATTACCTTCTTTTCTACACCCAAGAATTTCCATTCTCAAACATGGTTGAACACTAAAATCTAAAATTCTTATTTGTATGAACCTGGTTGAAATGCCCTTCAAAAAGTTATATCTTATTTCCAAGTCATTTTTGTAAACTTTGTCCGATTTGCACTGCTCGCATATGTAAACCTGTAATGGAAAAAATGAAACATTTAAAGCTTAATCATAAACTTATTAAATATATACTAATGTAATTTTAGCTAAAACTAAAAAGGAAAAGCAACAAAAAAATTAATGACTTGTTAACTTCTATGACTGCCAAAAGACGACATTATTTAACACATTTAAACAGAAATAAAATCGATATTATCATTTTTTTCGGCAAATGAGATCTATAAATATGCACAATGTACTACATTAATTGAATTAACATGTTTTATTCTCTATTTATTTTTTAATTTGATGACTAGTAAATTTTAGAGAAGGGATTTGAAATATCCTGAAACAAAAACAGGCGACCTGTTAAAATGTCCGGCATCCAAACGTAATTTTGATTTTTTAAGTGTCTCTTTTAAATTATTTTTTTCTTTCAAGTTTTATCATTAAAATTATTTGAGTGAAGCAGAATGTTTCTGTACCTAATTATAAAACTTTTATATACAAAGATAATTCAATTTAAAAATAATTTGCAATAATTATTTATTGTTTTTTTATTATGATTTAATGTAATAAATGTTTTTAAGTTGTAGTGAGATATAAAAAAATATATAATGTGAAATTATGCAATGACAAAATTAAAAGTTTGAGGAACTAAGTTAGTACAACCCATAATTTGAAAGCAGTAATTTTAAGCGTGGAATTATATAATTCAAAATTACATTAAATAAGAAAATGTAAAACATTTTGCAAATTTTTATTTAAAATCTGTCCGTTCATTAATAAATTAAATAATTTATAATTGGTGAAAGGTTTTTCTTTCAATATTTGGAAGATAATTCCATATATATATTATTTTTGTGAGCAAAACAATTTAATTGGCATGAATGTTTTCTGAGCTATGAAAAAATAAACAAATTCTAATTTTAAAGTTATAGGGCGCAAATTTTCATCCTATGTTCCGACTAAACAAGCATTGCAACAATATTTTCTGAACTGTAACAATTATTTTGTGGGTACTTTTAGGCATGATATTTTGCGTCTTTTTGAATAGTAATTTACTCTGAAGAGCTACTGAATTTATTATAATTGTAAAATTTTGAGCCGAGCGCAAGGCTGGAAGTGACTTGTAAGCGACGTAAACAGCTATTTGACAAGAAAAAAAAATACTTCTCACTATGTCAGTAATAGTGAAAATCAAAATAGTTGAGTGCTCCGATTTAAGAAGTAATCGTTCTTCTAGAGTGTTTCTGAGGACTGCACAAAACAAAGTGCAATGATTAGCATGAACATGGGAATATCGAAATGTCGTGATGAGACAAACTATTACCTGGAGTGCTGAGTCGAGATTCTTTTTTGGTTCATACCGATGGCGGAGTACGTGTATGGCAAAAACCACAACAGAGTAGGTAACCTTGCAGCGATCTAGTTAACTGATATTCTTATTTAAGCACTGTCCTTATGGACTGAAATGAGACACTTAGTGCGTGTGACATCGTCTCTCACAAACGAACTTAACTGAGATATCCTTGACAACCACTTGCTCCCTTGTATTCATTTGCCATAGTTCACGACTGAGATTGTTTTTCAACAAGACAATACAAAGTGCATTGCAAAGTGCTATTACCTGAATCATATCGGATTGGTTGAGCATTCCACGCACATGCATATACTTTCCTAGCCATCAAGGTCACCTGACTTCAATCCAATTGCACAGTTCTGGGATAAATGTTCGTCACTGCACCCACGTTCCAACTAATTTTCGTGGATTGTGAAAGTTTACACAGAAATAGTGGATAGGTACAGCTTCTCATCACTTTCAGAGTCTCACCGAATTTTTACCAAGACGGAACGCTGTTGTCATCAAGACGAACAGTGATACTACTCGCTACTAGACCAGGCATCCTTAATTCGATACCACATCAGTGTAACTGCGTCTTTTTATCTGATTTCTCAATTTAAATATCATGATTACCTGGTATATGATATTACCTGGCATATTTAAAGAGCATATTTTGGTATGTCCTTTGGACTATTAAAGTTTAATCTTATGATCAAAATCAATTTGATCTAAATCACGATCAAGTTGAATATTACACTTACTAGATCAAAAGTTATTCGAATTGTTTTATTTTACTATTTTTTTTATTTATTATTTCATTTTCTTTTCAATAGTACAGTATTTTTGTATGAAATGCGTGAGATTGAAATAAATGAAACATGTGTGTGCCCTTTATTTTGATTTTCTCCTTGATGATATAATTAAAAGATCAAATTCTTAACACATGACTTTTCTCACTTTCTGTTGTCCCACAGGCTCTTCCTCATATAACCAGTTCTTAGAGTCGTTGCTGAAAGTTACGAAGAATTTTTTCACAATGGTCATCTTGGGAGCTCCATTCAGCCCTTGGAGAATTATACCGGTTACTGTAGTCACTTTTTGAAGATCTACCTATTTAAAAATAAAAATGCAGAATTAAGCAGGGGTTGCAAATATATGCTATGTGACAAATCTATTTTTGAAGCGAAATTTGATTTAATATGAAATACTTGAGCAAAAGAAACTTTCAATAGAATTTTCTCAAATAGTTTAGAATTATTATTTCACCTCGAATGATTTTAAATTCATCTCATTTGACAAAAAGAATTGTCGAGTGACTATAAGATGATTGATCATATTTTGATGCTTTTTCCGATTACGTAACACAAATTCTAGTGATTTTTAAGAGTACTAGGAGGCTCCAGCCCTTGTTCCCTTCTCTCATCACCTCTTAATTGTTACCATACATCAAGGTAGAAGATCAAGATAGAACGAACGGTTAGATAATTGTTAGATAATAGATAATAGGAGTTAGATAATTGTTCATTTTACAAAAATTGTGATTGGACTACCATCTGTTGTATTTTGAGAATGGCAAAATTTTATCAAATCATTAACGGGGAAAGTCGAAACTCCCCAAGACTTATTACTCAGTGAAGGTGGTCATGCTGTAGAAAAACAGGTTCCTGGCCATGCGCAAATTCGTTTTTTATCAGAATCAGCTTCAAAGGACTATAAAACATTCCTCCCTCTTGATCTTCTTATAAGTTTTTTTTTTTTTAAAAAATACGATAAAAAATGTCATCTTTTACAGTAAATACAGAATTATCAAAATTTAATGTAAGCATATTTTATAAATGTTATTCAGAACTAAATGAATGGATAGCTGGATTTAAAAAATAATGAAATATACTTGGAAAAAAAGGAAAAAAAAGAATTAAACTTAAGTATGTAGAGTTCGTGACCCGTAATAAATGAGAGGTAATTCTATGAGAGAAATATGAGAAGTAATAAGAAGAAAAGAGAGAATTTGATGAGATGAAAATCTAATGAGAAGTAACTTGATAATAATATATAACGATAATAACAGTTCGCATTAGAAACAGTTGAATGTGAACGCCCAAAAACGGGGCTTCAGCGTCAGTGGCTCTTCTGATTTTTTAATATAATATAAAATTGAAGGCTTTATTCTGTTAAATGTAACCATTAAATCTATTTTCTCTGGTATCAAAGAATATGTAAATGACCTAACGTCTTTTACAGGTTGTTTATTTCATCTGATTATGTATCTATAATTAGAATTTTGGTTTAGATAGGTTGTAAGAAACAGTTTTTAACAATTTATAAACAACAGTTAACAGCTTATAAACTACAGTTAACACCAGAAAACTAAAAGTAAAGCCAAAAAATATGGAAAAGAGAAGAAGTTCAGCTCTTCCAATAAGTAACTAACACGTGGAACTGCTTGGTGCGGTACTCTGTACCGGAAAAACAACTTGCAGAGTGAGCAACATACTCGTACTTAGCATAGCGTCTTTTGAACTAATATCCAACTCATGCGTATAAGAAACAAAGTGACCGTCAAGAAATACGTCATTAAGTACGTCACCTGTGACAGGGTTGTTGAACAATTCTACATTCATAGTTAGGTACGCTGCTGCCCACCAACCGCTATTTTACTTTTTCTTTGTTAAAATGGATTAGCAGGTTTAATTAGCAAGGATGATATAAATGTATTCATAAAGAAATATCTTAATTAATAGTACAGTACTGTTTATCAATAGTGTAAAAATACAGAACAAAAAGAAAAAAAAGGGGAAAAAATTTTCTTTTCCCCAACCCCAGTAATGGTTAAGTGTAGACGAGGGCGCGAACCTGTTTCACGGATCTCCGCCTTTGTGCTCATATAATGCTGTCTTTTTTCTTTATACCCAGGGACTGCAACCAATCTTAAGGAACTGGCTTACATTATGTCGATGGAAGCTAGACTTCTTCCCCTATGTATATTCTTTGATAACACTATAGTTAATTGGGAAGAAACTGCAGTTAGCAGTAAAAAAAGTGGAGTTATTAATAGAGAATTTTCACTTTACAGTTAAACTAAAATGGTAAATTTCAATGTGGTCCTATAGATTTCTAAAGAATCCTACCTGTGCAAAACTTGTATTTATATTTTATTGTTTTCATGTGGCATTTGAATTTTCTGGCTTGAATATAGAAATAATAAAGTATAAGAAAAGTGTGTAAGCAATTAAGGTATATCTAACTAGTGCAAAAATATCATTTTGAGCAAAATTTTTGAAATGGAGTTTCATATAAATTAAAAATACCTATAATCTTAGCTTTCTAAAAATGCTTTACTTTTGTTTGTAATGCAATTATTTACAAATTTATTGCAGTTTTATGAAAGGTGATAAGGATGGACAATTGATTTTAAGTTTTTAAATGCATTTATCTCAAAATCAGATTTCGCAACATCTTAAACACGATATTGTTTTTAAAATGATTGTCCACAATTTTTCATGCGTGTTTATGAGTATAGCACACATGTTTTGAACGATAGACTATGAGAAAAATGTAAATTTCATTTTTATACATGTTTTTTAGCAAAGAAAAATGTGGCAATTTTTAAAAATTTGCTCTTTTAAAGTACATTGCTCCCTAACTCAGTCTATGCACTTTTAAGGTAATAGTTCAAAACATAGTCGTGAGCCTTCTAAATAAAATCCTCAAAGTATTTCTTGCGTTAGGAAATAGAAATTTTTCTTACGGTGCCAAAATCATAAATGCCAAAAATGCCTTATTTTTACTCAAAAATAGCCATTTATAAAAATAAATAATAATAATATGTTTTGCTAGTTTTATAGGTTCTTACACATAATAAAACAAATAAATTAGTTTAAAAAAATTTTATATATAAAAAAAAGTTGCCGAAACTAGTCGTATGCCGATGCATTCAGATTTCACTTACTGTAAGATTTTTATAATCATCCTTGAAGCTGGCACACCATCCGAAATTCGAATTAAGTCTGGCATTCGTATAATGATATTTATCTTGGTCATGACTTGAAGAAGCACTGATTTGGGAATCGAATATTTCTTCCGACGCCATCCCTAAGGGTTGCCCACAAGATTCTGTAAGAATAATGAATAGAAATTTTGGTGAAATACGATGAAAGCGGTTTATATAAAAAGAAAAGCAAAATTATGACTTAGGACCTCAACCGGGCATGAAAAATACCTTAAATAAGAAACGGTTTTACTTCTGAACTTTGCATTCATAAATAACAAAAAGAGAGTTTTAGCCAGAATATTTTATTTTTAATTAGTGTCAGTTTACAGATTATCTGATAATTTATTATACGTTTGCTTTAATCCTTGCAAGCAAACCACTTACTTTTTCGCTCGTTTTAGTTTATATTTTATAACCGGCGTTGAACAACTGACCCGATTCTGAGTTTACGTCTATCATTGCTCAACTCCATAACCTTGTACTTTCGGATCAAATCCAGAAGACAACGGAATTTCTGGATCAGTCTTGGTACAAACTAGCCTTTGGAAAGGACTTTTTGATGGAACTAACTGGCATGTGCGCAATATGGAGAAGAAAACCACGAAAACCTTCCACTGAACTGATTCTAACCCATAATCCGCCAACTACTGAAGATATTTTACGTCAGCACTGTGGCTGGTGTGAATCGGAAGCAGAATTCGTATCAAACCGGCCAAACTGAGATTCGAACCCTGATCACCTGATTCGGAGGTGAACGATCCATCCACTAGCCCACCACGGCTCTTTTTTTTGTTTGTTTTATTTTATGTTTCATAACAGTCGGTGAACAGCTGACCAAATTTTGTCCGGGAGACTACTAATGTTCAACTCCGAAGCCTTGTAATTTTGAACCAATTCAGAAGACAAGGAAACTCCTGGATCAGTACCCCCAGAGTTATGATTTGGTATGGGAACATGGAGGACTTTGTGACCAGACAGATTTAACGCGCACCAGTCACCATTTACTACACGGGGAGTCTTCAGCAGGTGGGGATCGAACCCACGACCTTTTGGGCATGGGCCCAGTGCCCTACCAACCAGGCTATTTCGGCCCTTTTTTGTTTGTTTGTATTTGTTACTCGCTTCTTATATTAAATTTATTAAATGCTTCGATTATCAGAGATACAAAGCTGCATATTTTTTTGGGGGGCAGGTCAGCAAAATTCATCTCCATTCGAAAAATAATATTTAAATCTCAAAACTGTTGGGAACATTTTGACGAATTTTAAAAAATGCAAAAATACCTCACAATGATAAATAAATAAAAAAAAAAGATTGATCTGTAATTTTACCCACTTTTGGGATAAAAACAGTTTTAAAAAGAAACCAATATTCTTTGTTTACTCTATAGGTCTAAAACGAGGAATAATGCAATCACTAATCCGTCAACAGCATTACTGACATAATATTAAAAAAACTTTAAATTGTACTTGTAAATGCTATTATAAGTGTTCTTTTAAAAATATTTGTTAGTGCAATATTTTAAAAAGGGTAACCTGATTTAAACATGCCTTTTTGTTGTCTCTTATACCTATTTAACTTCTCTGCAGTTAATAAATTTGACATTAAACCTTGCATTATGAAATTCCATAATAAATAAACAAGTTATTTTAAAAAGGCATTCTGAAAACAAAATATGCATTATAGTTTGACTAAAATAAAGTGTTGTTGTTTCTAATGCCACTTGCCAATACTAGCAAGCCTGCTTGGTGAAACCAAGCGAATTTAAGGCAGTTGGTGCGCTTCTTGTTTTCAGTAGCGCCATCCATAGACTTCAGCCACACACACGTCACAACCTGGCTTAGCAGGAGGATCCATTCATGCATTCATCCACAGACAGTAATTTTGACCTGAACCAGAGAACGATCAATCTCCAATTCAGAACCCCCAGAGACCAAACATGTAAGGTCACAAATTCCTTCGATTCCCATAACAAATTATTCCTCTGAGGGTATTGGATCGAAGATAGATCCTTCTGGTGTTCAGGTCAAAATTACGATCCGCGAATGAATGAAAGGATGTATGAATGGGTCCGCCCTATAAACGGGTTGACGTATGGGTGTTGCAGAAGTCGAATTCTTTTCCATAGATGGCGCCACTGGAAAATAAGAAAAATCGCACCCTCAATGCGTAAATAGCTTACAGCAAGAACATTATACAACTTTTTTCCTACAGCTTTAATAAGATGTTTAATTTTATTTTTTCCCATCAGCTGATCAGTTGGAACGGTAAGATGGTTAGTATGAAGGTTGAAACAACGTACTACAAAGTTTTCAACAGTGACTTCGAGTTTCAGCTATTCTCTCTAAGAGTAATTACATAAAGAACTTCGAAGCTATGTACCTTTTTTATGTATTAGTTTGAAGAATTAAAAGTAATAATTACCAACTCCAAAAACCTTTATTTCGCAAAACCTCAAACTGTCAAATCTGCTGTATACTTGCAATGTGACATATTGACCATAGACTGGTTGAGAACAATTGACCTTCCAGACATGAAATTCACGATTGGTGACTGGATAGACTGCACATGTGTAAGCATTCAAAAACTTCCCAACTTCCGTATGAGGAATGCCATATGAAAGATCGTCGTAATACTTGATGTAAGTATCAACAAGTCCCGTATCATCCACTACTACCCGGAACCCCCGTAAACTTTTATCTGAAATAAGCGAAATAATTAGACTGCATAAGTAAGAAATCAAAAATGCATTAAAACTAAAGGTTATGTGAATTATTTGATAAAAATAAAATTTCACGAATTTTTTTTACAAAAGTAAATGTCATAATGCACTAAAGAAATGCCATTAACACAAAAATTGTAAATGTACAGCGTGATAGTGGGTCACCGATTTTTCTTCAAATAATCAATTAGTAAAAGCTCCCTCTTATTTCGCGTGCGCCTTCTTGGAATGACCGGTATTTAGCCACCCACAGCTGTGTGTCGGACAGAAATAAGCAGGTTACGTGAATCTGCAGGCAGAAATAGACTAGTGGTATTTAAACCAAGACGTTACCTCCGAATTTTCATTTATGCATTTGAAGCAACATAAAATGACTTAATTTAATCTTTAAGTTTTTCTTTTTTTACCATAGCGCTCCAGTCCATAGATTAAAGAGACTTTCTCGGACTACAAAAAGTGAGGTGACGTCACGAGTTTTCCTGAATTCACAAAAAAATTAACCTCAGAGGAAGGTTTTCTTGAATACACCTTGGAACTGAAAAAGTACTTATCCCTTGCATGTAGTCACCGTTAAACAAAGCTTTCGCCATCTATTAAAGATTGCCCTTCAACTTCTTGAAAGAAGATGCCTTCTCTCCGTGGTGACTCCTTGGCGCCTGTTAAGCTGCCAGATATTAACAATCACTTTCTCCAAATGTGGAGATCAAGATCTCGATTTCGATCCATAGACTCTGGAGAACTCGAAATCAAGATCTTCACCAGAATCAATAAAAATCTGTTATTACCTGACTTTTTCCAGTTTCCTGAACTTGTATTGATAATTCTTTTAGTAGGCTCAGCAAAATTCTAGCAGGTTGTATATACTTAATATATTTAAAAGATAAATCTACCGACGAGAATACAGTTTTGCGGCTTAACGTAATTGTACTTTCACTTGTCATGGTCAAATTTATTTTGAATGTATTAACAGATTACGAAAAAACTACTACCGTATATCTTTACAAAAAATATTCATTAATTTTTTTATAAAAATCTAATTTCATTCTCTTAATTTATGTATAGTAAAAATTAAATTAACTAATGGCGCAAATATAAGTAGCGAATTTAGTAATGGCACATAGAGTTATTCGGAAAATAAACATAAAGAAGATCTCTTTTTAGATACACTGTCTTAAATCAAAATGTGCCTCGCAGGGCATTTTGTTTATTTTCGATTATTTGAATATTACTTAAAGATTTGAATAAACAGGAGAGTCTTAGGCTTGGATTAATTTTATAATAGGGCTGCGGTATTTGATGTTATTAGTTTCCTTTTGAAATGCTTAAAAACGTGACCCAGCTAAAAACAAAAAGCAATTTTTCTTAAAATACTTTTGCTAACAATCTAAATATTAAAAAAAGGGGAAAAGGGGAGATGAAAAAGTGCTTAAAAAAGACTATTTAAAAAGCAACTTTCAAAATTAGTTAGAAACATGTTGCTATTCAACTTCTGCAGCATGCCAGATCAATTTCAATTTAAACATTTGGACAGACTTCTAACAATTTCGTCCTCAAAGTGTGCCATATTATTGCTACAAAATTCGTTACAAACATGTTGCTATTCAACTTCTGCAGCATGCCACATCAATTTCAATTGAAATATTTGCCCAGACATCTGACAATTTCGTCCTCAAAGTGTGCCATATTATTGCTACAAATAACGCTTATTCTAAAAACATTCTAAAAACTTAAAGTTCCTCACAATTGGTAACACCATCCGTTGAGAAATTTGATATTTATTGAGAACAAATTCATGGTGTGCAAAGTAAAATTCAACAAACCGCATATTTTTATTTATATTTATTTTTTAGCTGATTTTCCTTTTTGTCCTCAATAACTTTTTCAATACTTAGCATTCAATTAATAATGTAATAAATTAATAATGCAGCCAATTAATTATGTAATCAATTGATCATGTAATCAATTAATCACGTAATCAGTTAATCATGTAATCAATTAATCACGTAATCAGTTAATCATGTAATCAATTATAAATTTTAATCAATCTTTTTTAGCAATTATACTTACAAATATCATAGTAGCAATAGTAGATGGCAATGCCTTTCTCATACGTATCTTTATCTATATTTGGATGCATTCCACCATATTTCGGTAAACCATCTTCTTTTTCCATTTTCTTCCATGGTTCTACATCTTCATTGAAATGGAAATAGTGCTCCATTTCCGACATCCCTTCTACTTTCTGACAGTTGTCGCCATACTTAAAAAGATAAAATGGATCATCATTTGGTAAAATTATGGGATTGTCTGCACGATCGTCATCCCGACAGCAAAAGTTGATGGTGGTGGTTTGGGATGTATAATTACCCTTCGGATAAAATCCATCAACTTTGTTGTGCGAAGGTGAATTATGAGTATCTCTTAAAGTAATATTACCATTGGTAAATTTTGGTGGACAAGAGTCACCATATTGAAAAATGCAATATTTCCCTGCAGGCCACTCTTGTGAAGAATTAGTTGAATTGTAGTGAGAAGTTTTCATACAAAAGTGCTGTACCACACCACTTCTTCTTTGAACACCCTCAACTGTTTCTTTCTGCAAACCACCTGAAATAATATAGTTAATATAAATCAAATACGAAATATATCACATCATAAACTAATCAGTTTTAAGTTCAACCCTGATTTCAAAAATAAATCTTGATGAAATATATGTTACTGTGAGTGACCGAAATTCATTGTTGTTGACTTCCTCCCGTGGATGTTGACAAGCACTTAGTCGCTTTGGTAAATGTCCGAAATATACACCCAGGTCTAGCTAAGTGCCACTGCCTGGTATACATTTGTCTGGTGTACCCTACACTGATGTTTTCTTATAAGGTTCTAGCAAATTCTCAACTTACCTTTCAAGAGGCATCCTTCTGACCAGTGAAGTACCTTTGTATCTTGTATTATGTCATACTGAATATCGTGGTATCGATATCCTGTTTTCCATGTAAAATTCTTGCTTGACGGACAACCTGACACTGGCATAGGTAGACCATACAGTCCTTCTGGCCACATTAACTTACTTTCCCCTAGCTGGAATACATATCATTATGTACTGGTGCGGTAAAAAAAAAAAACTGGACAAACAATTTTTTCATGTAATTTTATGAAAAATAAATAAATTAACAAAATATAACTAGATGTATATACACTATCCGGCCAAAAATAACATGCACACCGGAAGTCAATTCCAATGGCCACCTATCAAAAACTGGTGGAAAGTCTTCTCAGACGTGTGCAATCTGACATCGATGCAAAAGGGGGACCGACATCATATAAATATGTACCTCAGGGTGCTCTAAGTCCATACCACGGGGTGTCCAGATACTTTTAGTCAGATTGTGTATGCATAATATGTATGTGGAGAATATGTTAAATGATAATATTAGTAATTACGCTTTAAAAGTTAATACTTGAATAAATAGAAACATCAGAAACGTGTTTACAATCTATACATTTCCATTTAAACCATTTACTTAAACATTCGGCCAAATAAGTTTATTACTTGTTCCTGAACTTCCAAAAGCACGTTTGTCTGGATAAAACTAGTTATTTAATCTATATATGGTGACAGCCCTGACGGATCTGGTATATAGGTCATCATAATTTATTTTAGTTCTATTCAAAATTTGTAACTTCAGTAAATCTTATAAAATATTTATTAAAAGAACCAGAATAACTGAGATTTCGAATTGTAATTGACATCAGAAGGTTCTTGATTTAAAAGTAATCGATAAAATGTGACTCTTTTAAAGCCAAAACGAAACTTTACGTGAATTTCAAAGTTGCAGTCTGTTGAAATGACGAGTGAGTTATTGAACAAATGAGTCAAAGCACTCTAAACGTCTTTCTACGAGGAAAGCACGAGAACCAAATGCTTAAAATGCTAATTCTTTCAATGCTAAAAATGCTTAAAATAGTTCAAAACGGAAAATTAAAATTTTTTTAATTTTTTACACGGGGGAAAGTGGGGTGAACCAAGTAGTGGGTACTTTGATTTTAGAGAAATTATTTCTGTTTTCTAGAGAACAAACTCTGAATTACACTTTACTAATCAAGAAGAACCTATCATATTGGCATGTAATTGTTGATTAATTCTCGACGTCTGTGTAAATAAGTTTGTTTTGCTGTGTCAACTTTTTAAAGTTTTCTTGTTTTTAAGTTATTCTTACTTATATGCTATTACAGTCATAAAAATTGTTTTTAGTTCAGCTTATCATAAGCTTACTAAATATTTATACTCTAACAAACAGTAAGGATGTAGCCTGATAACTGCCTTAAAAATTGTTCTGTTTCATTTCAATAATTTATACTCACAGTCTAAGACCAGGTACTACTGATCCGGAGCCACATCCCCCTCGAAATGCGTCTGTGCTGAACCCACGACAGCTGCAATGCAGCAGAGGAAGAGGAAAACTACATCCCAGGTTGAACATACGGGCACCAGAACAAAATTTATTGCAGGCCCTATCCCCAAAACACTAAGTTTTATTTTCATATTTTGTCGAATTTAAACGATCCTTTATTCAGAACTGCAGTTTTTATAAAGCTATAAGGAAATTCTCTACCATTTTTCTATAAAAAACATTAATGAAAACTATATTTTTTGGTCGGGCAGTCAGCCGCTCTGGGCCTTGGAAAAATTGTCCCTCATTCCCCCTTACTCCCCCCTTGCGTGCGGACCTGACTACTGTTAAGTATGAATAATAATAAGTTATAGCCTTTCATACAGATAGATGGCTGTCGGGGATGTTTAATTGCGTTAAGATGATGTAAGTACCACAGAGGTGTATAAAATCTGATTGATAGTAGTCGACCATTCGGTCGCGTTCTTAAAATGTTAGATGTCTTATTTGTAATAAATGTGCCTGTGAAAAAATTATTGATATTGACTAATTTAGGTTTTAACAACTGACTTGAATGTTAGAGGCAATTAAATCAACATTCAAATGAACAAAAATTATCATCTGATATTAATTATTTTGCAATATTAATACTACTGCTTAATTTTGGTTACACAATTGACTTGAATGATGTTTCAATTCAATAATAATAACACGATGATATTTTATTAGATTTTTGCCGACCTTAGATTCAGATCTTGTGCTATGAATTTCAATTCCATGAATAAGATGACGCTTCTGCAAATTGACTTGCCACCAAGGATCTGTCTCAAACTTTGTAGCCGTACAGATAGAAAGAGTCTTCAATGTCTCGCTATTTCCATCTACACCATAAAACGCATACCTTTCGTCTCTTGTACTAGATTGTTTAGCTGGTTTACCTTTAGCTATATTTCTTATATCCTCTAATCCTAAATTGAAAATAAATTAATTATTATTTTAACAGCAGTAGGATTTATTAACAATAACTTATGAAGACGAGTACTCATTTTTGTCAATAAAATAATATCCTCAAGATCATGAAGACTAGTATTAAATATTTTTAAGTAAGTTAAAATAAAATTACTGTTTCATAGCTTAAGAAAATTATTTTAAAGCGTTCACGTAAATAATACGCAAACACATATATAAGTAATTGACACATGTTAAACCATATTATGGTCCTGATATGTTCCAATCGAAAGGGGGGGGGGGAGGAATAACCTATATTTGTATAGTGTAATTCTTTTCGGCTTTATTCATTAAGTGGAAAATGAAATAATCCTTACTTTAGTATCAATTTCTATTATTTATATTAGCTACATTCCTTACATCTTATAATCATTTATTTTAATCATTCATTACATTTTTTAAGTTTAAACAAGCTTAATTAGTCCTTGAAACAAATCATTACTCTTTTATCTGATTAAAAACTGCGCTCGCTTCAGAAATACGTAAACAGAAAATAACAGTCAATGTGTTTCAAGTGCTCAGAAACAGGCGCCCATTTCCAAGAATTTGCTAAGCGAGAATGAGTAGAAACAAAAGGGATTTTAAAATATAAAACAAAAAGTTGCCAACAATAGAGGGGAAAATAAAGACGAAAAACTGAACTAAAAAGGAAACTCAGCTGAGAGAGAAGAAGATTTTCAAAAAAACTGAACAAGAAAGACCACAGCTGCCCCCAGGCCCTGTTACTCTAATTGCAATTATAATTTTAGATCTACGTAAATCTACTCTTTCAACGTTGACACTTGTACCATAATATAGTGCAAAAAATGTCCAACCTTAGTAAATTGTCAGATTAAAACATATTTTTGTTCACGTTTCACCATAATGCCGTGATATCAATATCAGATATTTCTGAACCAATAATATAGTTCAATTTGAAGGATATAGTACTAAACATTATATCCCAAAATGTTTTAGATATAAACATTGGGATATAATGTTAAATGTAAGTCATTTAAATTTTGGTGGTTAAAATATAATATAAATGTATCCGAATACAAAGCGCTCTTATTNAATTTTGGTTATACAATTGACTTGAATGATGTTTCAATTCAATAATAATAATACGATGATATTTTATCAGATTTTTGCCGACCTTAGATTCAGATCTTGTGCTATGAATTTCAATTCCATGAATAAGATGACGCTTCTGCAAATTGACTTGCCACCAAGGATCTGTCTCAAACTTTGTAGCCGTACAGATAGAAAGAGTCTTCAATGTCTCGCTATTTCCATCTACACCATAAAACGCATGCCTTTCGTCTCTTGTACTAGATTGTTTAGCTGGTTTACCTTTAGCTATATTCTTTATATCTCCTAACCCTAAATTGAAAATATAATAATCATTATTTTAAAAGCAGTTGGAATTATTAACAACAACTTATAAGGATGAGTCCTTGCTTTCGTCTTTAAAATAATAAAGAGACGTTTTCCTCGTGTTCATGAAGACAAGTATTAAACATATTGAAATAGGTTAGAATAAAAGTACTGTTTCGCAACTCTGAAAAAATTATTTTAAAATGTTTACGCAAATAATACGCTACACATATATAAGTAATTGATACATGTTAAGCCATATTATGTTTAGTATAGTTCCCTCCGGCTTTATTCATTAAGTTGAAAATGAAATAATCCCTATTTTAGTAACAGTTATAAATACTTATATCAGCTATATTCCTTAAATCTTTTAATCATCCATTACATTTTATGTTGAGACAAATTAATCATTACTCTTTTACCTCATTAAAAACTTCATTCGCTTCAAAAATATGTAAATAGGAAATAATAGTCGATATGTTTCAAGCATTCCCATTTTCGAGGACTTGCCAGACGAGAATGAAAAGAAACAAAAGTAATTTGAAGTATAAAAATAAAGGTTTCAGAACAGAAAAGGGAAAAATAAAAGTAAAAAACAAGACTAAAAAAACCACGGTAGTTGAGATAGAAAAAATATGAAATACCTAACTAAGAAAACGACAGTGGCCCGAAGAGGCAAATATTAGGAGCAAATCTGACTCCTATTGATTTTCTATAACTTTTGTTTCTTCTTATTCACGTCTGGCAAGTTCAGGAAAATAGGCCCCTGTTTTTTAGAGCTTGAAACATGTTGATCGTTACTTTCTTTTAATATATTGAAGCAAATGAAGCTTTTAATCACATTATATCTTGCCGCTTCAGTTTCATTTGGATTATTTATTTAATCAATACTCAAATCGCAATTGCAATTATAGATCTAATCAACGTTGACACTTGCCCCGTAATATAGTGCAAAAAATGTCCAACCTTAGTAAACTGTCAGATTAAGACGCATTTTAGTTCACGTTTCACCATGATGCCGTGATATTAATATGAGATATTTCTGAACCAATAATATAGTTCAATTTAAGGGATATATTACTTAATATTATACTCCGAAATGAGTCAAATAAATTTAGTTTAACGCGTGAGTCAAATACATTTTGGTGGTTAAAATATAATATATATGATATAAATGTATCCAAATACACAGCGTTCTTATTAATATATTTGAATGAATGGCACTCGTATGACTTACTTGAATCGTCTGTTGGTCGACGAGCGATTCCTCTATACATCGCATGAAATCCTCTGCCGTTGCCAATTTTTTTCCATCTTGTAACATAAACAATCGTCATCGTACTAGATGCAGAATATATAATACCTTCTCTATTAAGGTTACAAAAACCTCCAATGAGATTGTTTCTTGTGGCTTTTTCTCCATTATACAACCATAGAACACCACTCTCTGTGGAACAGTTTCTAGATCCTGGAACACTTGGTACATCGAAATCTTGGAACACCAATTGTATGATATAGTTTTGCTGAACACGTAATATCCAAGTGTGGTTGTATTCAACAAAGACTTCCGATAAAAAATAGTAAACCGGTGGAAAAGGATAACTAAAAAATAAAATGAAACATAATTTTAAATCATTATCATATAGTATTAATAATACTAAGGTTGTGATAGCAATCATAAGATGGTAACTAAAAATGGAGACATCTTAAGAAAGAAGATAGTGTCTCCAATAAATACCACACTATAATAATAGTAGTCATAAATTTGTATAGTAGTAACAATACTGACGTCTTAAGGTTGTTTTTCAGTGGCTTCCTCGCCCTATAAAGTTATGCTTTTTTTCGAATAATATGCTATTTTCATAACTTCAGTGAGTTTGCAACAGTTACTCTTGAATGCTAAGACAAGTTTAGCCTATCTAAAGCTAGCGCTGTCTATGCTTATTCAGAAAATGACGCAAAACATCAATATGGGGAAAGGTCACAGTTTTGTGGAATTGAAAATCGTTTGTGGTCTAATTTTCTTAATATTTAAAAACTTACTCCAATGATGCATTATCTGAGCTTCGTCATTTTAGAATGAAAATTCTAACAGACAGTGTATTTGGAGACATTGCCTACATGCTTTTGTCGATAGTATATTAGACAGGTGTATGCTCCTGAATATGACGACAAGTATTAAAGGTTTTGAAATAGAATCGAATAAAAATATTCTTTCGGAATTCGGAAAAAAATTATTTTAAAACGTTCGCGTAAGTAATGCGCTACACATACATCACTAAATGATACATGTTGAACCATTATAACTTTATTTCCGAATTAATACGTTTGTAATCGTTTTAAATATCAATCAGTTATATTTTTATTGAAAATTTAAAAGTATTTATTGAATCTATAATTTTTTTTTGTATAGCTTAGACAAGTAGAAGTTATTCACCAAGTTAAAAATAAGCGAAGCAAACAATGTATATTTCTCACTTTTTATTTATTGATAATCAGTTAATTTTATAGCCAAATTATAATTATTTAATTCAAAATATATAAAATTAAGTAACTTATAAATGAACTTTAAAACAATTTCGTGGAATAAAATTAGTGATTGATTTAAAAGTTCATTACTATGTTTTTCACACACATTAATTTTACTTTTCCGAAAATAATCTTTTCTGAAAAAAAAATCTATCAAGAATAGATTATCAACATTCTTACTAAATGTCACAGACTACACCCTCTTTCTCGTAATAAATTCTTACTGTTCAATAACATTTTAACGTAAAAAATAAATAAGTTCTAATTCTTACTCCTTAGAAGTAATGATTCCACAAACTCCACTGCAATATGTTATTCCCTTATTTACTCCCAATCCTGCATTGCATCCTCCACATTCTGAAAGAGGGATATTTTTTGAAAAAAGTTTTGATAAACTGCAATTTGTAGTAAAAAGAACATACTCAATCTCATTGCGAAACCAAAGAGTTTAGTGGAAAGCCATGTTTTCAGCCATATTAGGGACATGTTGAAAGGAAAGAAAAACCAAATCAATATCATCTTTTATTTTTTATTTTATTTTTTATTTTATTTATTTATTTTTTTATATATGATTTGAAACGAAATTAATATCATCTTTGTTTTTCTGCATCGTGGGAACCATTTTGAATAATAAAATTTTTTACCTTGATTTCTAATTTACCATTATAAAGAAAAGATATTTATTGTCAACTTTAAAATATTTATGATTAACATAGCATTGTCGCAGAGTAAAATTTAAACTGTCACTTCACTGTCTCGTCTATGAACATACAAAGACAAATTCCCAGAGCAATCTTACTATATAAAACGTTAATACGTACGTATGTATGTATGTATCAATAAAACCGATGATATTTCTTTTCTCGCGCTGGCAACAGTTTTCATTTTTAATTGTTAGGTTTCGGCGCGCAAGAGCACGTAGTGAGCAACCAGATAACAATAACCAGAGTGAGCATTATCAGGTTGTTCAATTCAGATTCATGCACTAAAAACATGACAATATTTAATTTAAACTCAATTAGGAATTAATTAATTAATTGAAGTGAGAATGCTTTAAAAGGCCGCTGTTGNTTGTAAATTTTAAATGTCATAGCCAAAATAGCAAAGGATATCTCTTTGCGGAGGACCTATTAAATGATACTAATTCTCATTTGTGATACACTGAGAAGAAAACTACGAAAATCTCCTACTCTTTTACTGAAGTTAAGATAATTCTATGATCAATGACACTACAGTTGATGAGAGCTGTACACGAATTGATTTTTTATTAACGGGATTCAGACCTGGGTCGCTGTGTGGGCAATTCAATGCTTTATTTCCTGAGCCATTCTATTAAAATCACTCTTTATGAAATATGCATAAAAATGATCCCATGCAACTTTGTTAAAAGAAAAATGTAATGTATCAGCAAATATAATACACCAGCTGCTAACACAGATTGTTTTTGAATCACTGCCCCAAAAACACATTTATCGAGTCAATTCCAATGCAGAAAATGAAATAATTTACGAATAAGGAATCGAAAATTAATATCATTAATATAATATAATATAATTAATATAATATAATTAATGCAATATAATTAATTATATCGTGAAAATCTATATACTTTTAGTCACACATGAAATAATAAACAAGTTAGCTTTATTTCATTGTTTATAAAAATGTGTAAAAATAGAATGAAAAGTATTACATAAAATAAAAATTGTACTGACTAAATACTTTTTTTCTTGCTTATTTCAGCTTTTAGCTTTCGTTCAGTATTTCAATGTAATTAAATTTATTTATATTTATTTATATGAAGCAACTTTTTATGAAAAACCTTTTGCTTACTATTTTTAATTACTATCAATAATATTAATCAAAAACATTTTTCCTGTTGCTTTTTACATTAAAAACTATAATCCTATCTCAAATAGAACAAATAATATTAATCAAATAGATTAAATTAGAGCTTATGTAATGAGTCTCATTTTTTAATTTCTTTACTAGGAAATTTGACTCTAAAAAATTTTAATTGTCCTTCTGCTGATCTTTGCTTTTTTGTCTGATAAAATCTGATTTTTTGGCTTTTTTGTCCGACTCATATCTATTAATATGAGGATAGTTTAAAACCTGAAAAATTGGTCGTTTTGAAGATTACGTAGTATGCTTTTACTTCAAGTCACTCATAATGTTGCAATTTCCCGTGATGTTTAGTCCTCTAATGTCTAGTACAAATATAATCTCCATGCATAGTAACAAGCAAATTCTATTAAGAGAATAATCCCAAGAAACGGAAGTGGGAAGATATATTTGTTAATGTAAAATTTTGATTAGTTTAAAAAACGATTATGGGGAAAATAGTGGAGATGTTTCGAGCACTCGAAAATAGGCACACATTCTCAGACATTCACCAGACATGAATGACGGAAACAGAACAAAATCGGAAGAGAGAACTCGGAGTTTCTCACAAAAAAAGGGAAATAAAATAAGGATGAAAAAAAGGAAAAATTGCTGTAACGAAGAACAATTCAAAGCAAAATGCAATTTAAAGTGCTTTTTTGTTATTTGAGTTTTGTTTTGGTTAAGCATTTGTTCGGAAATTAATTTCGTTTTCTCCCATCAGCGAATTTAATTATATTTTTATCATGTAAACTTCACACTAAGTGGCAAAATCATTATATATTGACGATTGATATAGCAAGACTTGCTTAAGAAAAAGTTCAATTGTTTAAGAAAAAGTTCAATTGTCATACTCAGTTTCTTGGTTGGTGCCCTTTTAAATATGGATAGTTAAAAGCAACCTTTTCGGCATATTATAGTCTTTTTACTATCGTAAAAGTAAAAATTATGTTATAGCAACAAAAAAATAGGAACAGTGTATGGAAAAGATGCATTCATTGACAAAACGCCAGTGCCAAAATTGGTTTTCAAAATTCAGATCTGTCAATTTTGATATTGAAGAATCACTTCTCTTGGAAAGCCAGTCTAAGCTTATTTAAACACAATAAAGATATTGATTAATCTCTACCGGCGAATACCAACTAGTTAGTTCACTGACGAGTAACAACTCGTTAAAATGTAAAATGCATCGAATTCGAACGCTCATGATCATTTGAAAAGCTGAGATTTAATCTAAAAAAATTGACTTATAGTATCCTCATATTCTTACGGAAAGAATCTAAGGAATAATCACGTTAACATCAATGTTCCGTGTCTCAAACACGATTATCCATGTCCAAGAAACGCCATTTACCAAGAAAATTATCCATATTTGGAGTGCATCCTCACTGGGAACGAGAAACAGGTTGTCTATAATATTTGTGGTAGTATCTACAAAATATTTTATCCGGTAAAACTTTTACTTCATATGAAGAGATCAAAAAACACTTGGATCAGTTTTTTGCCAGAAAAGACTAAAACTTTTTTGGGAGTTAAATAATGTTACTTACAGAAAAATGACAAAAGATATTAGACCAGATTGGACAATAATTCAATAAAATATTTTTACACTATCGTTTCGAAAATGAAAATCATTTTTCATTTTCATAAAAAAAATTACTTTTCTAATACTCAATACTATTATCTAGAGAGCGAACAACTATTTTCGAACATTTGAAACACGTCACTTTTTTGCCTCCACGTCAATTTTTGTAGCAAATGAAGATTTTTACTTAAACGAGAAAATTTTTTTCCTTGTTTAAGCAAAACAATTTTTAAGTGTTAAAGTGAGAACTCAATAGTCTTACTATAAGAGATAACAAAATAATAAGAAAAAAATTACCGGTGCGCCGAACAGAAGCCTTGAAACCTTTACCTAACTTGAGATTTGAATCTTGATTGCATGTTGTAAGCGTAATATTGAGAACAGTCCTTGCTCCTTCAGACACGTAATATGGCGGACTTTTCTGTCGAGAAATTACAATTTTTCTAGAATTCTCTGCGTCAATCATGACAGTTACTGCACTTTTACATCGAGGCACTGTGTTGTATGCACCAAAATGTACGACATCATAATCTGAAAACACTAATTCCATGGTTTCCCCTTTCGGGATCTTCACTGTCCATGTATAACGGTGAAAAGCTGGCGGGTATTTACTTTTGTCTTTCTCCGTGTTGTATCCAGGTGATGTGAAGTTAACAGGAGCAGTCAGAACATTCATAAGAATTTCTACGTGAAAAAAGAAGAACTAACGTAAATTTAAAAAAAAAATATTACAAGCCAATGAAATGCATAACTTTAAAAGCCTAATTTGTAAATGATATTCTTAAATGATCGCCTTTAATGAAGATTTTTATTACATTTTTCATACAATTTGAATGATTAATGCATAATTGTTTAACGATCTCTCTGTCAATGTAAAATTAAATAACTTTTTCACCATCAAATTCGAGTAAAGCCGACATAAACTTTTTGATGTCCTTCCAGCTCGTCTTAGGATTCCAGTATAAATCAACTACTTCGGGTAAATAGACAATCAATATGTGTCGAAATTGTGTTCAAAAAATTATTATCTCGTAAACCTAAGTATTTAAAGTTCTTAATAGTTCTTAATTTATCATCGTTTGATTGTAATTGTCTTAATTATCAAAATTGGTGTTCTAATTTGAATAATTGCATCAAACGTCCGTTTTCAACTTCGCTTATGTTTTGCAGTATTGGTGAAACGACATTCCTTAAAATAAGAATCATTAAACCATAAATGAAATAACTACTTAAATCAAATTTTTATTGTTCAATAAGTGTGATTATGTGTGTAATATATTGTGCTCAATAAGTTGTGCTCAATATCTCTTAAACTTAATTTCAAATATTTAAAATTTATAATTGTTTATAATTATCGTTTGATTGAAGTTGTCCTTATGATCAAAATTAGTATTTAGATTTGAAAAATTGCACCAAACATTCGTTTTCTACTTCACCAATGTTTTTGCACTACTGTTGAAAAGACATTCCTTAAAATGAAAATCATTAAACCATAAATGAATAAACTATTTCAACCAAATATTTATGAGAAATGATCGGAAACTTATTTTAAAATCGTATTTTTGGAAAATTACACATTCTAGAAAGAAAATTGAGTTTGACATTTCATCCCAATAGAATCCGAAAGAAAATGTCTAGGGAATCTGTTATCCAAACAATAAAGCAGTTTTACTGTTCAACCAGTTTCCAAACAAATTGAAGTCGCCGCTTTCGAATTAATTATGTATCTGAACAGTCGTTGCAACAACAGAAAATTCTTAATGACTTCTATTGATATATTACATTTTTATATATTTTATAGAGTTAGAGATTGGTGGGAGGGGTTTTTTCGTATGTCAGCACTATTTTATTTTAGTACCGGCGTTGAACTGTCTACCCAATACTAAGTTTACGACTATCAATGTTCAACTCCGTAGCCTTGTAATTTTGAATCCAACCCTAAAGAAAAGGTAATTCCTAGATCAAGTATTAGGACAAACTGGCATTTTTTAATGGAACTAAACCGCATTTGCGTTACATGGTAAAGTAAACCACATAAACCTCCCACGGTTAGCCAGACCATTCTAACCCACGAGCCCACTTCCACTGAGGGCATTTTAATTCAGCACTGAGCTCGGTGCTTGCCGGTAGGGGAGTTAATGCCTCCCAACTACCTCTGGGATTTGAATCTGGATCGCTTCATTGGGAGGCGAACGCTTTATACGCTGAGTCACCGCGGCCCATGACAACACTATTAAGTGGTTTAGGTGTTTATAATAAAGAGTTATTCTGCTGTGCTTTAAACTTTGCTACGTGTTGATCCCTAATATCCTTGAACTTCAATAACTTTATGTTGAACCATAATGGCTTGAATTAATTCTTGTTCAATTGATTTACACGATACTGGAGTTCAATTTAAAAGGAAACAGGATTCAATTTAACACTTTATTTAAGTTGCATTAAATTTGCATGATATTATGGTTCAACACTGAAGCAATTTTTCTCAGAGCGAAATTAAAATATAAACTTGGCTAAATTGTAATAAAAACAAGATTTTAATAGTTGCAATTTTTATACCAACCGCGATGTTTCTCAGCTCTGCATATGAGTGGTCCAAGACGGTGTTTTCCAGCTTCATTCACCTCTCCCGTATCACCAAACCGAAGTTGAAGAACCGGTAATCTTTTAGAATCCAAAAGCAAACCAGAATCTTCCAGCCATTTCAGTTTGTTGTTATCGTCACAGTTGCATGTGCTGTTACGTTTTGTTTCTTTACAGTATGGGTGGCAACCACAACTTCTACTATCTGTTTCAGCCCCACCCCAATAATATTGGTCTCTCCAATATCTACCTATCCACCTAGGAAAGGAATCTGCCTTAATTAAATAAAATTAATTAAAACCTATTAAACATTTCTAAATGTCTATATCATCGCTTCTAAAATTCGTAAGCGACACCATTGTTTTGAGTTTTCCCACTTAAGACCTGGTTTCTTAGGACAAGCGCCTTATCTGGGCGTCAGCGTTAAGTTGACGTTACCCTGACGCCAACAAAATACTGGTTTGTTAGCTCAAGGTCTGGTTTCTTAAGGTCTGGTTTCTTAGGACAAGCGCCTTATCTGGGCGTCAGCGGAAAGTTGACGTAGAGCTGATGCCAAAAAAATACTCTTTTGTTAGCTCAGCGTGAGCAGTCGGTTCAACGCAGACATTATCTCTCATTGCGCATGCGTTAATAACGTAAACAAATATTTATTTTGAATTTGTATTGATTTTGTTATTGTCGACCAGTGTTTTAGAGAACAAATAATGACTTTGTTCAAGAAAAAACACATTATAGCTGAGCTAAATGAAGAGTGCTATGTTTAATGAAGAAGCTATGTTTAATGTCAAAATCAAAATCTTGGCTGATTTCAATGTGCTGTTG